GTCTCACCTAGCATACATTTCTAAAATACCGTGTCTCACCTAGCATACATTTCTAAAATACCGTGTCTCACCTAGCATACATTTCTAAAATACCTAGTCTCAACTAGCATACATTTCTAAAATACTGTGTCTCACCTAGGATACATTTCCATATTCACATCTGATAACAATTTAGTTATAGTCTGTTTCAAAATGATGTAGATGGTAGTGTAATATATATTCTTATTAATAACGTATGTCTACTTTAATTAGAGAAATATTCCATTATCTTTGTAAATAATAATAATGACACGCGGTAGTAGATGAAATATGAATATCAAATAAATTAAAAAGGATACATTTATTTTACCTGAAAATAATAGTTTTCACAGTTATCATAACAGGTACAGTACTAGCCGCCTGCATGTTATTAAAATCTTTAATTATTGTTGATCAAGTAAAGCCTCATTAACTTATCTTAATATCAAAGAGTGTTTACAATTCTGTAATGCATTGTCTATAAATTCAACTGATACAATAACAGTTGACTGAATGTTGTTTTATTTGTACGCTTATGCCTGCAGAATTTCAATCTCAAGATGATTTTGTGCGGACATATACACTGTAGAAAGGAAAAAAATATAATTTTCACTTTTTATAATATTACAAATGTCAATATTGTCAACATTTATTCAAACCTTGGGCTATTGGCCCATTATACTGTTGTACATGATGTATAGAGATGATGTGCATTATACAATGTACACAATTAATGAAATAGGTGCTACCTAGAGGCGAACGCTTAATAATATCATACTGTATACAATTTTAATTCATTAAATAACATAGTGTAACCACCTGATAATAGTTTTAAAGTTAGCATTCATATTTTAGATGATATCGCATCGCACACATAGGTTCAATTTTGTATTGAAATCCGCTGGTACACGATATGATTCAATAGAATAGACATGTTTCCCAATGTTATGTAGTATGGATCATGCTTCAATTCGTATCATCATGACTATATGTGTTCCGGTATATTACGGTATATAATGTTAACGAGGACGTTAGCCGATTTAATTATGCATACCAACATAAACCGTTCCCAGCTCTTGCAACTTGGAGCCTTTTTATTTTTTATTCTTAATCATAAAATGACAACATAACAAAGCAAAGTTGCAGAATCAAAAATGAAAAAATAAAAATGGAAAAAAATTGATATTTACATTCAGCTAATTTTAATGTAATGTAGACCACCTTAACGATGACTAGATACATATACAGATGTATCTTGTTCGCAGCATTACACAGAAACTTATATCATGGTTCCATCATTTAATGGAGGCATGTGGTATAGACGGAATAATAACATTTTAATGAAAACTACTTTGAATATGTGTTTAATATTACATTGCATAAATATTGAGTAACATATACAAGATGATGAACCGTTAGCATGAAAATGACCCTTCGTTGTTATTTTAAATCATTACATTATATTAATAAAATACTGGTAACTCGGGCTGAACTTATATCAAGAGACATGTACTGTAGCCAAATTAAACCTTGCATACACCCAACACCTTACCTGTATATAGGAAAATACCAAATGTATGTACGTGAAACGACACCGTATTTTTATTGGTTCATGGTGACTGTTTATCTCTGTTATATGTTGTAATATGTAAATGTTCATATTTCAATCTTGATCAAGGGTCTGATCGCCCTGAAAATTTAATAAGTTTCTGTGTTTGCACTTGCCAGTCGTACTACTGTTTTGTCAATATATATCTTTGTTAATAAGATGTAAATATATGTTTGACTGATCACAGGTAGAGGACATAAGGAATCCATTTGCGATTTTGATTGTTACATTTCATTAAGTGTTAGCTTTCGTTGAGCTACAATATTCTAACTCATTTTCTTATTTCAGGTGCAATTAAAACATGTTCACAGATCTTTAGGAATACTATTAACCAGTCGAAGCAACTCATATGCTGAGATGGAGCAAAGTGTCACAGACGTTGAGAGGAATGGAAGCAGGAAACGACAGGTATTTCAGCGTGTATTTCAGAAGATTCGTACTAACCCTGATTACAGAGAACGAGTCCTGTTGACGATATGCATCTACCTATCATTTACGGTCATTGTAAGTATAACAATTGGCACTACGTTAGCATATTCATTGCTCATATTGAATACAATGCAAGAAATTCAATCTTCACGTTCCTCACACAAATGTGTGTAGCTCACAATACGCCTGAAAGCATTCGGTGAACCCTTATTTTTGTTACAAATATGCATTTTGTAACATTATAATCGTATTGGTATCTTGTCTTGTTAATAGGGTCACGATCATATTCATTTTGTCCATTGTTAGAACGCTTAGCAATCAGGTCTTCACTCCAAGCGATTGCTTTATTACAGCCGTTATCTTATTAGATATTGTTTTTAAGGAGACAATCATTTCCTTTCATTATGTTTGTTAAATATTTCAACATTTTTTTTCCGCAACAATTAGGGAAAATAATGAAATTTGTGGCTACGTCCTTTTGATTGTTTTTGATATAGCTGTTATGACCCTATGAAAACCACAGGCTGATTCTACAATGTAACATTCCTCATTCTTATCAACTGAAAGTTATTTCAGACAAATTACCCATTTATATTTTTCATTTTCGCAGAACTAGATAAACTGATCAAAATTAACGGTCAAATTATACAGAAAGTGAAAAGACCTTTTTAGATTTTTCTGACATATCCAGCTAAAGAGATTTAAGCTTCAATTCAGTTTCATAATTTTGTCACGTTTACCTGTATTATATCAGGTTAAAGTGTTTATGCATGTACACATGATAGAATATTACCTGTTTGGATTTAGCCCGGTGTTACATGTGAAATAGTTTTATCACAAATTAGTCATACTGCAAAACATATTTAAACTCCCGGAATATGCCATTATTGTCACCAGTATCCCCATTTTACTCGTGAAGTTACTTCATTGGAGTATAAAATGATTACAAAAACGCATGTGATGTATTACATAAATAACATACGGTTACCATATCATTCTTTTACTCTTATGCAATATTGCCAGAAACGTAATAAATCCTTTACTTCCACATTTCCACGATCAGATATCATGCTAGTTACCTTCATTATGACAACTAAGATCACCTTCCTATCCAACTTTTCAAGAATTGGCGACTTCAATTTCAACATTTATTCCTCAATAGCAATACATCAGCTTCTCCATTTAAGGAGTTTAAACGTCAAAGTTGATTTATTACTCCACTTGATCTGATAGACATAAGGCATAAACAACATATGTTACTTGGATTCAATGTTTTGGTTGGTTATTTCTTTGTAGTCAAGCTAGAGGCTAACCAGAAAGTATTAAAGATGCATTGATTTGAAATATAAACCACTTTATCCTACAGTTCACCCTCGGGGACCTAAATACTCGTCGACAGCAGTGTAAATCATTCTGAACTAATTTTCCCCATTTGTATTTTAGTATCCGACACAAGTTTATAGTTCATGATCTTCACATTTTTGGATCGACAGGGGTCGTCATGACGGTTACCACATGTGGTGCAGGAAATATATATACTTGTCGCGTTTTTCAATACTGTATAACGCTTTAAGTTCGCATGGTTAATTTTTTCGCGTTTTCGTTTAAGGAACATGTACGTGGGGTTAAATTTCGCTGTACACCCTATTCCGATATTTCGCGGATCACTTACAGTGTATATATCAAGATAATTTTAAGTCAACGTTATTCCAGTTTGATGTGCAATGTATTTTGAGTATAAACGTTTGGGAGTAAATCCATTTCGAAACAGGAACACAGCTTGGCAATGTGTGTGTAAATTTTGCGTTGTGTATATACTGTCCCGACTTTCGTCATGCACAGTGACTTCACTCGGAAGAGTTCACTGTAGTGGAACTGATCCTACGGTAAAGGTAAAAGTGCCTTTGGCCAAATATCGTACACAGGTAAGTACTAGTATGCGTAAATATTTCGATAGCGAAAATAAAAAACGCGAAATATAACCGCTATACAGTATTGTTAAATGATATACCAATGGTATATGTCACGCATTGTCCTATTGTTTTGAATTTGATCATTTAAATCGATACTTGGATTGTCCAATACTCAAAATCATATGTTTTACTTTAAAAAGTGTTGATTAGGCACCTAATTCTTTTTGTTGTGATGGTGAAAAATGTAAGGATTTCTTTGTTTGGGTGCCGTTGTTATTTGATCCATATGAATCTGTTGTTATGGCCAGGGAGGTACCAAGGGTCAGCTGGGTCCGGCCTTACTGGACCTGATTGCCATATCCGGTGTAGACCTGGCGAAGGGAGCATTCATTGTCACCTCTCTGTATCTTGGCTATACCATCGGAGCCGTGCTGAATGGCGTCCTGTATTACCGTTTCCGGCGGACTAGTCTCTTCTCATTCTGCTGCTTCTGGATGGGTATAATGACCTGCGCCATTCCTTGGTGTTCAAATTATGCTCTGATGCTAGGAGCGCATGCTTTTTTGGGCTTATTTCAGGGTGTAGTTGACGCAGGTATTCATGAATCTACTAAATATGCGTTCATTCTATAAATGTTTAACCTTTTTGTGTAGAACACAATAAAATTCTACCACAAATAAACACCACAATAATCATTTTCACTCTTTTAATACAATTTATAACTATATTTTACAGTTAATAGTTTTTTCGATCAATCATTTACCTTCAAATGCTTCAACATATGAGCTTATTAATTATCGATATTGATGATAATGACAGCTATATATATTACTTTATGACTGTAAGTCACTACATTTGACTGTTAAACATTTAAGTTTACTGTCAATTATAATGTATTACTGTATACATTTAATATAAATATTAATCACCGGGGTTACTGTGTATAATTTGATATGCAAAAAATATTTATGAATTTCTGTTAGTTGTACAATATTACCGAATAGTATAATAAATCATTCGTTTTAATTTTAAATCATTTTATTTTATGTAAATTAATTTTAATTTGTAAATACTTATTTTCATACTTGTGCTACCAACATTAGTAATACAATCATAATTAACATAAAAGTATCATGAAATATCCGATATCCTTATTTTCAATATAGATATGAAATTTTATTAAATTGATTATCAATTACTGGATCGGTAGGCCATTAAAACACTGACAGAAGATACAATTAAATGCTTTAATTTTGCTTAAATAGATTTCCGCGGTTGCATTTTATCATGATCGAAAGTTTAAGTCGTGAAATCTCTAATAGTGTATGTGTTGATTGTGTTCCAGGCGGGAATGCGGAAGTCATCAAGTTGTGGACAAAGGACAGCCGAACACTTGTCGTCGGTCTGCATCTTGTCTTCAATATCGGCGGTGTTTTATCACCATTAATAATCGCTCCATATCTAATGACGAATGTGGTAGTGCGGAACTCTTCACATCACGTCGAGGATCAAGCATATGCCCCTAATTGTACAAACGGTGATAATAACGTCTTGAGATGTTCCGCAATCAATTTATCAACATCGAACACTACCTTTGAAAATACCACCATTTCCATGTTAGGAGACGGACAAAAATTCACATCAAAGATACACATCGCCTATATTATATCGGCCGTTTCCTGTTTGCTGGTGGCCTTTCTCTTTATGAGCCTCTATTTTTCCAAGAAATGGAAATGTTTTGTTCATTCTATTGGTGTAGCAACAGAGAATGACGGGACAGGTGGTGAAGTAAGTAAAAAGGAAAAAAGTCAATTAAAACTAACCAGAACTTTCAAAATTGTTGCGCTAGTTGTCATGATAACCATATCAACACTAAGCAAAGCGATAGATCATGCTTTTGCTGCGTACCTGTCAGCATTCTGTGTCGACGCTCTCCATTGGTCGACACAAAACAGTTCTTATCTGACGTCAGCGTATTTCGTGTGTGTGGTTATAGGCGGAGCGTGTGGAACTATAATGACCAAAGTGACGTCACTGATTATGTATGAGGGTTTGCAAGTTGCACTGATGCTTGTGTCATTCATCTGTCTTGCGCTCAGTGTAACACACTCGGCAGCAGCAGGAATTTGGGTTGCCGCCTCACTTTTTGGATTTGCAAAATCTGTAATATTCCCTCTAACACTAGCCTGGACAAATGATTCATTTGTGAAAATTTCAGGCAAAATTTCGTCCGTATTTTTTACTTCGACTATGGCTGGGAGTGTTACAAATCCTCTTCTGCTGGGGTATATAATGACCAAATTTTCAAAAATGTGGTTTTGTTACTTTTTCCTTATTGAATCTATTCTTTTATTGATATTCTATATCATTGCCGTACTACTGACTAAGCATGCCAAGCACATATGTAGGGACAATGATAGTGAACAATTTGATATTACATAAGGATATGTGCTACCTTATTTCGGCATGTAGGTTTTGAAAGTAAAGATTACTTTGTTAATTGGTTCACGATTGCTTGCAATGTGCTAGAGATGCTAGCATAAGTAATTATCATTGAATGCAAATATTAAAATGTATAAAAAGAGGTTACAAAATCACAGATATCCTGTGCATCGTTGCATATTTGTAATTTTCTCATGTAGTATTTTTTTTATAACGAATCGTACCCGAGAAAAATAATCCAGTCATTAAAAAGATTGCTGTTTACGTAAGAATGTAAGATATATGACTCGTGTTTTTGTATGGATTGTGACGTCGTGTTGTTTGTGTGTTGGCACTGGTTAAATGTTTTTCTATTTCACTTTACTGGAGGTTTTTATATTTGCCATGAAAACCATTTTTAATACATAATTATGTTAAGCTTTCTTTCTTTTATATATAATAAATACACAAATGCGTTACTTTTTATTTGCTATATTGAGCAATATTTAATGGTGCAATACGATTTTTATAATAGTAGGTATAAAAATAAAGCGTACAGCGTTATCCCTCAGTCTGGGCACGGGATCCATCAGTTTTGACTCGGCATTATTTATTGGAAACCCCATATTAATTAAGTTACATACAATTGTCTTGACATCATGAAAACAGAAAAGAAAGATACATTTATATCTCCAATGCTACTAGTTGTATTCATATATAGCGTACAGGGGAATCTCTTTGTCTCCTCCAATCTGGGCACGGCATGTTTTATGGGAAAACCAATATTAATTAGGTTGCATACAATTCTCTTGACATCTTGAAAACAGAAAAGAAAGGTACATTTCATATATAGCGTACAGGGGAATCCCTTAGTCTCGTCCAATCTGGACACGGCATTATTTATGGGAAACCCCATATTCATTAAGTTGATACCATTGTCAAATTAAAGTCGTTATTTTATGCATTTTAATCTGATATACTGTCGATACAAAACCCTATTCATCAACACGAGAAGGAGTTTATTCCAAAAGGGTGAACTTTATAAAGATAATTGATTGTATCTACATGTTTATAATTTTTGAAAGTTAATGAAGTGCTGTCTTATTACTGCATACAACCTTGACTTACTGAATTGTGTATTTGTGCTTATCTTAATCATGCAGTTTTTTGCATAGTTGATTTTGTTGTGTCACATGTATAGATAATTACTGTGTTTAACAAGTAATGTTCCGGGTTCGCCGTAATGTAATAATTGCACAAGAACAAATGACCTTAATCCCTACAGCGTCGGAGGCCACTTGTATCTTTATATCGATATTTTTCATCTAGAAAAACCATTTATGAAGTATCACTTAAACGGCTATATGTAATTATATTAGTGTAATAGTAAGATCATTTTGAGAGTTCCAACTGCTCGCAAAAAAGGAATTCCTGGTTGAGTTCAGTTCTGGGCTATGTTCAATATACATATTTTAAGATGAGTTTGTTAGCTTTTAGCATTCTTTAAGCCATGTGTTAATGACTTAAAATGTTTTCGAATAACAATATAATAATACACTCCTGGATATTTTTTTTATTGAATGTTGATGCTCTTCAAAATCCTGTTTTGATAGTTTGAACGTTTTGCAATGGCCATGCGATTTCTACGCATGGAAATACAATTTGAATGTGCTTTGATACGTGTAGTAAATATAATGATAATGTTATAGATACATCAATATACTTTGGATTAAATCATTATAATTTCATTTTTGTACAGGGGTAGAATTTGTACACGACAGCTTCTATTCTGCGTCCCTTTTTATTATTTACATTTAAAGGCATTCACACAATTCCTGATACATTGTATTTATATTTCTAGCAAAAACATCTTATGCTAAGAAAGCTCCTGCGTATAAAAGATATAAATTGTCAAATAATGTTGTTGATGTGTTACAATTATGTTAATATGCTGATGTGCTTATTTATCTTATTGTTTCGTGATGTTGAGAAAATATTTGCTTTCAATAAAATGAAATGATGTTTCCTAATTAGGCACAAATGCAGAACTGTTTGATAATGATTATAGATACAGCACTTTTTTGTGAAGTATTGATATATTTCCAAAATAAGGAGACAATTCTATATATTTTTAATGAATTGGTGCATCTTAAGGAGTCTTTAAACATATTTGTTTCTTATCCAACCTCTTTCAGCTGCCATATTATATAATTTTATGTATATACATGCACATTGTTGGTATAAAGATGTTTTTAAAACATTTTTTTTTAATAAAATGTCAAGATTAAACAATAGTTTTCTGTTTTCTTAAATATCTCTTGGAGTGTTGTTTTAAGGACCACTGTTTCAATACAGCAAAACACTAAAGAAGCCCAGTTCCCCATACACCCAGTAACCTCCCTTTACTTTCATTTGAGATAGCACTGTAGCAGGACTTGCCTTGGGCACTACCGTTGTCAGGTATCTCAGTTAGGTAGAGCGACAGTATAATGATCTAAGGTCAAGGGTTCGAATACTGGTCTTGCCCCTTAGCATTGTTTTACACTCAGAACACTGTTGTTAATTTTGTTAGCGTTCCGCAGGGTATGGGTTTCTTTTCGGAGATGATTTATCAAGATTAAAAGGTTATCAAGGTTGCCGCAGAAAAGTTTCCAATGCATGGCCATACTCTGTTGACAGTGGTACGGGGATCCTTAAAACGAATCATCGATTGTAGATGATATGGATCAAGGACGTCGTGCCCCTCCTCCATTCTTTATATATTGGTACATCGTTTTAGGCCGATGGTTGGTCCAATATCAGTACTTTTATACAAATAATCGTTAGTTGGTACAGTATCAGTACTTTTTACAAATAAACCATAGTTGGTACCATATAAGTATTTTTTACAAATAAACCATAGTTGGTACAATATAAGTACTTTTATACAAATTAGCCAAAGTTTGTACAATATAAGTACTTTTTACAAATAAACCATAGTTGGTACAATATCAGGTTGTTGTTTTTAAAAAAAAATCCATAGTTGGTACAGTATCAGTATTTTTTTAATAAAAATCAGTATACATACAGGTCATAGTTGGTACAAGATCAAATCTTTTATATATATATAGGCCGATAGTAGGATGAGGGAGGGCGGACTGAGGTCTGAACCTCTGTATCTGCTAATGGATGTTGTTGTTACCACGTTAATAACGTTGAATCGGCACTGAATAACCAACCTCGTTATTTGGAATTAATCAAACAACTTTCGGACAATAATGGTCATGTGTATTCCAAACCTAATGACAAACAACGTGATTTAAGTCACGATCGTTTACCTTCCTTTCATCAGCATTAGCATGCCTGATACCCTTGCTTATTGTGATTAGCATGGAAATTTAATTTGCTACTCCAGAACATGTTCTAAATATCATAATGTTCTGAATAGATGCACAAGGTCTTCTTCTTTTATATTACCCATCAACTATATCTGATTTATGTCTGTCATGCTTTAAATATGTTTTTTCTTGTCTAGCTGGATAATGACACAATCCATCATGATGGATGCCGCATGTGTGATGCAGGATATCTTTCCCTTCAAAATATAATAATTTCGGTTCAAGGTTCATGATATTTTTTAAGTCCGTTATTTTTTCTCTCACCTCACTTCCTGGTGTTTTATCCTGAAAACATTGCGCCATAGACATACTATTTTTCTGTAATTTCAAAGCAAAATTTTTGAATGGTCACAATTAGTAAAACTGCTTCAACATCTTTCTTTGAATTGAAAGAATTATTGATGCAGTATTTGCCACTTTGCTGATTTAATTATTGACATATTTCATAAGTACTGAATGCTGTTTGTTTAACATTGTATTATGGGAAAGAGTTGGAAGCAAACATTAGGCTTTGGTGAGTTCTTACATCCAATGATAAATTAGATTCTAAATTAGTATCTGCTGTAGCAAGAACGGTAGCATTGGAAGTGTCTTTCATTATATCTAAAAGGGGCCTTGGATCCGATTGTAGAGATCGAAGCCAAGAAGTTTTTGTTAAAATCGAATTTATATATAAAAATGTTCTTCTATTGTAAATAACTATTTTCTCTTTGAAATGGACAGTTATCTCAGAGTAATGGGGAAACTTTACCGATAAAATTGAGGAGTTCGATGGTCACATGTCTCAATGTAAATGTACAGGTAGAATCAATACCTGAAAAAATCCACACACTTTGGTTTGAACTACAATAGTATAAATTTATGAAGCAAGACATACATATATACAATTTTAACAGATGCGATTATCAAACTATACGAAACTTAAAATCTGGAACGAACAGATTTCATTTCATTTAAAAACAAATAAAAACAACTCAACAAACGTGATATTAGTAAAAAATATATTTATACGTCAAACAGATAAATTGCTTACACCATGTTTAGCAATAAGTTTATTTGACACATTGCTTAGTTCATTTTATAGCTGCTGTTATTCCAACATTTTACACTTCGATGTGTATAGCAGCATGTCATACGTTCCGATTTTTTTTGCGATATTATGATAGAAATAAAATCAAAGCCCCAAAAATACCAAACTGCAATCTGTGTAATGCTAAAAATTGGATTTTTTCCCGTAATGATACAAATCAAGTCAAACATCTAAAAGGAATCCTGAATGAATATCAATAAAAATGACATCATTAGATATTCATCAGTTATTTTTATTTGCTCTTGTCGGTATACTGATAAGGACGTATATGAATTATACTAAAATACCACTCATACTTACACTAAGAAGAAGATTGTTGAAATGAATTATGCCCATTAAATTCACAACAAACTTATGTAAACTAGGCATAAGCACTCGGATCAAAGTCATTCTACTGTATTAATACAAAACCAAAATTTTTTTTTCCTAAACAAAACTTTTTGCCATTTCCCATCTGCACTACCTATCAAAAGTATGCGCTGATGTGCTAGTAAAAGGTGTTGTTTTAGTAAATATAATAGTACTCGTTCGAAATAACGTCTATTGGTGGCTTGCTGTCCTATATATACGATCTTCGAAATTGATCTATTGTCATCCTATTAATGTTAATGATGACACGATAGGATAAAAAGAATATCTTATTTCTTCCTCGCTGATATACTACGCTTATAAAGTGGGGTGTCAAATGATACATTATAACTAAATGAATATTTTAAAGCAGATTTGTTTTGAATGAATTTTATAATTAGCATACTATATAGAAGAAATATTTATTTAAGATACATTGTACATACAACAAAAGTTGGGATATGATTTAATTGTATACTTTAATTGACCCTCTGCATATAAATGGAATAGTATGAATAATTACATAAAATCACCAGGCAATAGATTTTCATGAAACACATTTACATCAGTTAATAACAAATTCTCACACAATGACACTTTAACGTATAGGAATATATATCTTATAAAACTCGAGAAGTTAAATTTAAGAATATGAAATAATGTTCCATGTTATAATCTCGTATAGAAAGGAAGGTTGTCGAAGAGTATCCTCATGAACATACACACTAAAACTGAGGTATAAAGTAAAGTAGTTATAATACTATTACCGTGAATCTATGTTACATGGTCAATTGAACTCATATACACGTGCAAATTAATTTGGTCCGATTATTAGATCAACTAAACGCTAAGAAAATTAGCGAACATTTTTGGTACATTTTACATTACTGATGTGAATTTTTTTTTAACGATTTATATGCCTGCAAACTACATTCCCATTAACATCAACCACTATAGGTTATTCCAGTACGACCAAACAATAATAATACATAATATATGGAAACCAACCGAAAGTGAAATATTTTATAATTAGTTTGATCAAATAATCATCATGTATCTTCTCCCATTACTGTTATTAACTGTTAACACATCCCGTAAATAGATATCCTTGTTTTATATAGTGCTTACACTTAAGAATTTAATCACTCAAACAAATAGATACTTGTTAAAGATTTTTAAAATTGACATAAGAACATGAGTTTATGTCATGAAACATATTACTTTGTTTTTATTATTATCTTTTTCTTTCGCATGAATACCATTGACAACGTCACATAAAAAAAATGTTATAACAGATACATGTACAAGATAATTGGGTTAGTTATGACTGTTATGACACTGCATGAACATGTTTCGTAAAAAATCCTTATCTAAAATTTTCAGTTTCTTCAGATGAAGGAAAGAGGTACTAATTGCATGGACCTTTCTTTCATTTAAATTTAATAAATTATGTAAAGGGTTACTGAATTGGGTCTCTTTCATTTGACATTATTTTCATAATGCATGTCCTTCAATTTTCATCCAATATTTTTTCGGGATCATATTATATATAGGAAACAAAACAATCTTACAATGAATATCCGAAATACATTCATGCAATAATCAAATTAAATATGAAATAATGTAGTTTATTTTTTATTTCCATTTTTCTAGTGTTTATGCTTTATAATCGTCTCAAAAGAACGTTTTAAACATTAATATAATACACAACAAAAACTTTACTGGATTTCATGATAATTTTTTCATTTTTGCTCTCTCTAACATAAATATTTTATTTTGGGAAGTAGGTCCACAATCATCAATAAGAGAAATGAGTACATTTTCACTAAGTGACAATAAGACGACTTAGCTTTGTTTGGCGAGCACCGGGCTAGGCTCCAGAATTTAGCTCGGTACAAGCTCTTGTCATTCAACTGAATTCTTTGATTTATTAACGAGTCTAATGTGTTCTACGACTTACAAGCACACTTAAGAATGTACATGTAGATGTTTTGCATAATGATGGATTGCATATATATTTCACTATTTGAGTTTTAGAAGAAGGGAAAATATATCTCTATTTTTGTCGTATTTTTTAACATGATAACCGTTTGTGAAACGCTTTTGAAATGAGTGCAATAAGGACGCACAGGAAATATTGACGAGGTCGGCATTAGTGGTTCCTAGAAACTTGTTGTGCAGTTATGAAGCGTTATGTAGTCGGCTGGATTGATGATGTCCTCATGTGGGTTATCATTACTCTTGTTATCTCTCACCTGCAAGAAAAGTTTAATTTTGAAAAAAACGTTTTATCATATTAAATCCTTCGGAATGATACAATATCAATACAAATAGGTCTTAATGTTTAAACGTCATGATCTTATCTGTTGAGGACCTGCTTTGGATCTGGATTGGATTGATACGGATTTGGTAGTTTCGAATATTCATTTCTCGGGACTGACTTTCATATCGTGAAATCATTCATAGGTAGCTAAAAAACAGAAAAATAAAAGAGATAAGTCTCGCTCTAATGGCAAAATGGGAAATTGACAACTAAAAGTTGTTCAAAGACGTCGTGTATTAGTTTACCATTCATAAAAACATAACATATTCTTGACCGGATATTTTGTTGTTTCTTGCATTTATAAATATAAAACATTTTTTCGAAAATGAAATTATTTAAACATCCTGATGATAGGACATCTCGACCTGGTTTTAAGGGAAAATATTCTGTAACACTTTCAAAGCAAATAATTGCACACAAACTCCATTATGTAGAAATTTCTACCGTGTATAGTAAGTATGAAAGCCCGAACAATTAACATCTATTTTAAAGGCGAACTTAAATTCCCGAAATGGCCATGTTTCAAACATGATTTGCAAACGTTTCCGGAGTACCATGGATAAACGTTAATCAAGATCAACGCCGAATATAGATACAGAGTACTTTGGAAACAAAAGTGATGATGATCCTGTCGTTATTTGTAATACGTTTAGCTCTCAATTTATAACCATCTAATAAGGGACTGATTTTTTCCCCTCCGCTATGAAAGCGTAGGCCCCTTGTACATGATTTATTGGAATGAAGATACCAAATGGGTATTCCTTCTACTCGGAAGACCCCCCTCCCCCCCAAAAAACTGAAACCTCCAAATTTCAATCCATTAAAGACCCCAGAAATTTGGACCCTAGAATTGTATTCCGTTTTGAATATCCCAAACGGTGGTTTTGTATAAACTGAAAGTGTGAGACCATTGAGTTTTTAGCGTTATGATGACTCCAAAATGGAAAAGGTTAATATATTCCAACACAATAAAGACACAGAACGGTTGAGACCCAAAAGAATTGGTACCAGTACATTTTTTATTGAATCGAAGAGCTAGAAAACGTCAGACCTTTAAAGTTTTCTTCCGCTCTTAAGACATGAAACAGCAGTCAGTTACATGTCACGTACCATTTCTACAACAATGAAGACCCCCATCATTAAATTACCTCACACTGTTTACCGTTCGAAATTACCCTTACCTTTCTACCGCCGTTAAGTCGTTATAGTTTGGAGTCTTCATAGCGGTTTACACGAAAGGAAGTCGTCATAGACACATTACATTTTCACCAGTCTACAGACTCCAAAATAACGTGAAAACAGTTGTTACTGTTTAAGGACACAGAAAGAGTAAGACCTGCAGATCTTTATAGTTCAGAAGAGTACATAATGATGATACCTCTTTTATACCACCCAGAAGGCCCCAAAAAGTAAATAATCTGTCATCTGATCCAAATTTGAGTATTCCTTACCTGTTCAACCGCTCGGAAGACCCGGAGGAAGTTCAAGCCGGCCAGTTTCTGAAGATCTTCAATCGACCATTTTCGCCTGTGGAGTTCGGCAAATATCACGGGGTAAGTCGAAACATCCTCTAGCTCCAAGGGCATGCTTAAATAGAAAACATGTGTAGGCCTACTTCACAATGTGACATTCTCGTTTATCCGAGTCATCAGTTATATCCCTTGACGTCTCCCTGTAAGAGTTATTTCTCTGTCACCACTCCGTCCATTCTCACTTGCCTCCCTCTCACCAAAATGAAAGAGTTACCTCCCCTTGCGTCACTCATTGTCACACAGTATTATACTAAAGTAATAAGCGGATGACCAAACAATAGCCGGTGAAAATTTGAGTTTGCACATGAAAAAGTATGCTTTCCAATACAAGTATTAAAGAAAAATAACGAATTTTAACAATTTTGTTGATTAGAAAAAAAGTAATTAGTGTTTTTATATACCTACATATATAGTATACAATATAATACGGCCAACAATAAAGCATGACTGTCTATTAATAAAAAAAAAACGCAGATAATAAAAAAAAAGGTAATTCAAATAAAAAATAAATAAAAAATATAGATATAAAACGCACAAAAATCCTTCCAAAAGTTTCCAAAAGAAAAGAAATAAGAAACATTATTTTTATTCAAACACACTACTCCTGCCACAAATCACCAAAATTAGTTATGTTTCTTACGAGTTACCTGTATGAATGATGAAACAAACAAACACAGATGATATACGGTACGAAAACATAGATGACTCTGCATCATACATTTGTTTTGTCCTTCAAGGACTCATCGGTGATACTCGAGGCTTAAAAGTTTGGAATCCTATTTGGTCTCAACTATTCCTGAAACAGAAGGGGAGGTACAACACTCCCTTGATTTTATAAATTTTAACATTTTTAGAAGAAGAAAAAAGTAGAAAAAAATGTCAGTTTGCTTAAGCAAAATGTAACTAAATAAGGGTACAGTGTACCTCTCAAGATGAACGTTTCTCCTATGCAATACTTGTTGCCTGTGCTTTACGCCCTAGTAATAGCTATGGTCATTTAAGAACGTGCCAGGTTTTATGGTGGAGGAATAACGGAGTACCCTGAAAAACACCACCGACCAGCACCAATGCAAGTACCTGGAGACCGCCCCAAGAAGGACTCAAACCCGCGACTCAATGGTAAAGAGCTAGTGGTCCTAGACGGTCAGACGCCGTAACCACTCGGCCATAGCGCCCAATTATGTATGTTCTAGTTAGAAGGTTACTGCATGATTTCTGGTCAATCTGGACTTATTACACTCTACTCTATCTGGTGTAATACCAAAGTTTAAACATCAAACATAGCGCCTCTTGGAGTATGTTTGAACGGAACTGTGTTGCATACCCTAATAAATGTTAAAATGATGCATTTCAAACCTTACATTTACGTTATATTACATTCACTTTCATTATTTGAAATTAAGAAAATATAGGGTTTTTTTCACGTAAAAACGCAATACACCTTCCTAAAATACCCATTATTTGAACAGCCTTTTTCGCAGGAAAGATGATACGTTGTCAATGGTGACGAAATACACAGTTGGGCAAAAAACAAATAGTTCCTCTTTGCTTATTTCTAATCATTTGATTTACATTACAGCATGTTTAACAAGCATTGATTATCTTTAAAATTGACAGAAGATCTTAATTTGAAACAACATTACTCTGTAAAATACTTCAGTTACAAAGTTACAAGAAGGCAGCTGACCAATAAATAACGGTTGTGCAGCGGCTAAGCCCATTAAGACACGATACGGTTGCAACGTCAACAAGATGGTTGAATGGAAATTAAAAGTGCATCCGTGAAATGTGAAGCTTCCAAAGAAACCAGACGACGATTTAAAAAACGCTGTTGAATGAATTCTTTTGTCAACCGACGAGCCAGGATGACTTGATATGCTCCGCCACTTGCAACGTACACTAATGTAAAGATGTTTTTTTCTGTTCTGTTGAAAAGTACGTCGTTGACCCGACATAAACATGATGTACATTGATTAAAAACCACAGTCATTCAACACCCTTATTTAATTTAACAGTCTGATTTTCTTGTTGATCAGTTCATAGTTGTTAAAAAAAAAATAAGTAGTTGATAAAAAAAAAAAATGTTTTTGGTGAGGGGGGCGTTTTGACTGTGTTAACATAGTGAGGTCAAAGGTCATATAACGGTACAATGTGGTACTGTTAAAAATGCTTGCACTCAATGCTATTCTATATGGTGTAAAGTCTCTTTTACAATGTATTTGATTGATATTAAATTGATCTATTTATAGGGATATGTTGTCGTGTAAATGATATTATATATATATAGTATTGTATTGTTACCTTATGAATCGTACCTGTTTCAAAGTAATTGTTCTGTATCATTCGGCAATAGGCACTAATACCTATGAAAACAGTCGTTATATTGTTATAATACTGCGTTTTGTCTTCCTTAATTTACTATTAACAATTTACTTAAATGTTACTATATTGTGGTGTATTCGTATGTACTATATCACATCATAGTGTATTTACTATATATAGTATTATACTCACAAGGGCACACCATCGTAGTCAGCGCCTATAGCCACGTAGTCGACGCCTATTAGATTCTTCACGTAATCGATGTGGTCTGTAAAAAATATATATACCATACTTAAGGGATTTTTTTTATATATTTCCTGTGAACAATCAGAACGAAACTATATCTACAAATTCTCTGCCTCTATAGCTTTAGTAAACTAAACAGTCAGCAACCTTCATAATTATGTGGATTTATTACACCAGTAAACCGTCAGATCTAGAGATCATCAATTTCATGAAACCCGATATCTTCACTGAAGTGAAAGTTTACGAAATATGCTACCTTGCGCTGATATACGGTTTATATATCGACCAATCACAACATTGTATTCTATTTACTGCTTTGAAGAAGTGTTTGTTTTCGTACATACTTGGTACACATGTATGCTCAGTTATTAGTATATTTACATTGGTTTACACTTTGTTTTATTCAAATTTTGTTTGACAATACATCGAAGTACGTGTTTTTATTCCGTCTTTGCGTATAGCAGAGTTATCTTCTCTTGGGAGCAGGGATTGATTGTTGCGTCACTTGTTTGTGAGAGTAACGTCATCAATTTTTGAGAAAACGACGTAATTTCCCCGCACAAACCAATGACGTAACAATCAATACCTGCTCCCAAGAGAAGATAACTCTGCAATACGCAAAGACGGAATAGAACAGAAAAGGAAACAAAAACAAGTGTTGTGACACTTATGTAAATTTGCTACCCGCTTAATAATGAACTTTTCAACACTAGCTACAGGAATGAAGTAATACAATGTATATACACAACAGAACAATAACGGGAGTAGGGGAGGGGGTAATGGATTGGTATGCAGTGGAAACCAGGAATGAATAACATATCAATATACATATGATCATCAGATGGTAATATCATATTGCTATTTATCATATTCAAATTAGTGGTGCGTGTAGAAATACCCTTTTATGCAAATCGATTCGGATAAAAGAGGAAAACAGAAGAATTGCGCTGAGAAACTCTTTCAAATTCCACTTTAATGCAATTGTATTACGGTATGATATGAAAGTCACTTTTCTTTCGGCTCCTCTACTTTGGTTAGAATTTTTATTTAGCTCTATTTCAAACAAAGCAGGAGCAGAGCATACATTTTTAGTAACATATTCTAGTTGAAGCAATACTTTACAACATTAATCAATAAAATAAATGCATAAAAAATAGATAAAAAAAAATAGATTGCGTGTATTCTGTACGTAAAGTATACCACTGCTTTATTTAAGGTCGTGGTCTTTTTTTATCTCCCGTTTGGTTGGTGTTTATAAAGATCGAGAGTTATTTATGAGCTGACCTTTGACCCTCATAATGAAATTTACCTGCTACTTGTGCTACTGTTGTTGTGTTTGCGTGGTCTGCATCACAGTTGATAAAACCAGTGTAGAAATTTATCATTATGACACCCTTGTTTTGTTTCTGAAAAAAACAACATTTTACTGGAATGTACTTCATATGATAATTGATTTCTGCGTTGTATATAAACTATCAACTCATTAAATATGATAATATCTTACCTGCTGATTCCTTATCTCAGTCCATGTACTTCACCGAAAAGGTGTACGTTATCAAACTATGTTTCATCGAGAGCACGTGGATAAAAGAAAATCTTACCAGCCAAACGATGCATCTCGCCTAGTAAACAATAATCTAACCAAATAAGCAATTATCTTACCAGCTAGACAATCATATTACCAGCTAAAATGTATCTTACCAGCTAGACAATTATCTTACCAGCTAGACCATCATCTTCCCAGCTAGACAATTATCTTACCAGCTAGACCATCATCTTCCCAGCTAGACAATTATATTACCAGCTAGACAATCATCTTCCCAGCTAGACAAGCATCTTACCAGCTAGACACGCATCTTCCCAGCTAGACAATTATCTTAACAGCTAGACAAACATCTTCCCAGCTAGACAATTATCTTACCAGATCAGTAACATATTTCATCAGTCAAACAATTATCTCTCCAGCTGAACGATTATCATACCAGCTTTACAATAATCATACTTGCACAATTATCATACTAGTACTAGCTTAACCATGGTCTTATTAGCTAATGAGTAACCATACCAGCTCAACAATATTCTCACCAGCGAAACCATTATATTACCAGCAAACGATCTATCTATCTGAGTTATAGAGAATAAAACATGCCTTTTTTCTATATCGCACCCAGTATCAACCCGAGACTGCAATATCAGCCCGAGGGCTAAAGGCCAGAGGGCTGATATTGGGCAAGGGTCTGTTTATTACATACTTACACAAAAAAGCTACTATCTTATGATTTATTTTTCTTTTGAAACATTGAAAAACGAAACAAAATCCAAAAGGGGTGTGATACAGGTTTTGCGGGCTGATACGGAGAGGGCTGATACGGGTTTTGGGGTGTGATACGACGGGGGCTGATACGGGTTTTGGGGTGTGATATGGCGAGGGCTGATATGGGTTAGAGTAATTATGTCGTATCGCATATACAAAAAACCCGTATTTATTAGTAAGTATGTAATAAATCATCTTATCAGCTAAGCAACTATCTTGCCAATAAACAATTATCTTCCTAACTGAAAAATTATCTCAACAAGTAAACAATTCATTTTCCATATGAGCAATATATCTTACTTGCTAAACAAGTATCTTACGAGCTAAACATGTATCATACAAGCTTAACAATTATCTCACCAATTTAAAAATAACCTTACCTAACGATTATCTAATATATGAAATATAAACTTTATTTATTTTACAACAATTATGAAACAAGTTATTTGAACTTACATTAATCACTCTTGTTGGACCGGATGTTAGCGCGTGGGGGTCTAAGCGTGGGAGGAAACCGGAGTACCCGGAGATAACCCATCTGGTCGGGCAGGTGACCCCAACCTTTTAACGTCCGATCGGGGAGTCGAACCCCGGCCGCATTGGTGGAAGGCAAGTGCGCTATCCACTGCACGACCCGACCATCCACTGCACCACCCGACCACCCCAGACCCGACTATCTTATAATCTAGGCAATCTTATATAATTACCAGCTAAAGAATTATCATGCAAGAAAACAATTATCTTATCATAAAAAAACAGTTATCATATAATTTTAATAATTATCTCTGGAGCGAGCTAAAAAGTAAATTAATGTAATGTCCAGTTGATTAAGTATATTATACTGGATCGCACTACTTCGTGCATCTGGTTTCTGACACTCTTAACATTCTTAAACTTAAGAAAATGTCTTTAAATTATATTCTCTCTATATATGAAAGCATCTCTGGGATAACAATACTTCTTTTACTTAATAAGAGCGCAGCTCTTCTTGCGCCGAAGGCAATTGAAGTCATGGTAACGTCGAAATACTATGCTTCCAAAATCCTCCGCCACGGAAGTAGCTAGTATAGAGTTACCGCGGTCCTATTTTTACGATACTGTCTAGCTTTGCTACACATTCTCAAAAATATCCCTTTTTTTGATTTTTTTTTCTGTGTTTATGTAAATTCATGACATTAAAAATGATAGAAACTGAAGCTTCTTTCAAATTTTCAGTCTTTTCTTCTCTCCACCCAAACCGGAAGTATATAGTAACTACCAAACCAAGACGGAAATCCGGATGTGTTTGGGCTATTGTGATTCTCTTTTTACACGATTTAGAGGGATCAGGCAAAGTATATCATGTCGAAAAATAAAATTGGAATTTAATCACCAATATACTTAATTTTATAATAACAGATAATAACAGTTACATTTGATAAACAATACATCTTCAAATATGAACTCCCTCTACAAGGGCCTCACTCTTTCCGCAACATTACGCTGAGGCCATAGACGGGGCAATTAAATGCAACAGTACCAAATGCAATTTGTGTTTTCTCTTGAACTGCATAATTCATTCAAAAGTTTTTCTTTACTTATTATTAATTTTACATCTATCGCTAAAAAAACGAATAAATAGATAATATTTTAAACAATGTTAGTTAGAAAATAAAATTGAAAAAAACGGCATTTAGACGCTTCTCTCGTTTCAGGCAATGCCTGTTTTCAAAATGAATGATTTTGTCTAGCAACAGATTCAAGTATATTATAAAAAAAAACAATTACAGGTAAATTTTGTATGTATTAAAATGGGTAATGTAATGATTAAAAAAATATAGTATACTATCGAAACAAATGTACGAGCTGCGCTCTCTCCAGGCCATGCCTGAGTTTTATTATTAATCGTTCTTTTTTAGCGCAGATGGAACGCAAAATTTCTCAATGTGGAAGAAAACCGGAGTATCCAGAGATAACACATGTGGCCCCGGTTATACACGTAGTCCAATGCCTATTGATGTCCGAGCAGGGAATCGAACCCTAGTCGTCTTGGTGAAAGGCGAGAGCGCTACAAACTGCGCCACACGACCATCCTATGTGTATTCCGTCTTTGCGTATTGCAGAGTTATCTTCTCATGGGAGCAGGTATTGATTGTTACGTGATAGGTTTGTGCGAGAAAATTACGACGTTTTCTCAAAAATTGATGACGTTACTCTCACAAACAAGTGACGTAACAATCAAAACCTGCTCCCAAGAGAAGATAACTCTGCAATACGCAAAGACGGAATAGTCTTTATACTATATATTTATTTATTGAGACATTATCTCGTAGCTTACCAGCTTTAGGAGGACGTCATCCTGGACGTTCCTGTAATGGTTACAAAGCGCGAAGGCGGACGAGTGACTGAAGATTACGGGTGCTACCGATGCCTGCATGGCGTCAAGCATGGTTTGATAAGACACGTGTGACAAGTCTATGATCATTCCCAGTCTGTTCATTTCACGGACCACAATCTACAACAATTAGGTGTTACGAAAATTAGATTCATTTGAATCCAGTTAATGGAAAAAAATATCCGGATATTTTAAACTCAATATAAAATATACAGTTAGGGAATTTTCGTGGTGAAAATGATGTGATATGCACCTGAAAAAAGTGTATTAACAGAGGCGAAACCGAGGTTAATATACTTTTTTCAAGATTAAAATTTCGGCAATTATGCCCTCAGACAAAGCGTGTTAAAATTCCGCGTTAAACAACAACAAAGATTAAAATGGTATAATCATGCGTGAGGGCATTGTAGAAACAAATCTTTAAAAACCATCGGTAAAGCAATTTCAACAATCATCAATCAAATATATGCTTAAAGTTATCCATCAAAATGCAATGACAATGCAAATGCTACAGTACAATTATTTCTTTCAACAACCATCTGTCAAATACCCATGAAAAAATTCTTAATGTTTGTCCATGGTAATAAGAGCTATTAGAACCTACGCTGATTTTCTTTGCATTTTGTTTGCATTATTTTTTTAATTGTCCGAAATAACATTTCTATTATTCAAGCCAATCGATTAAACTTTTGCGCTACGGTTTCAACCATTACTTAGGTGATACATTTCGTTCTTCCATTCGGAAGATTAACAGATTCGGACCTTACCCTTCCGAAGTCTGTGAGACCTTTAGATATCCCACCATTTATGTCCGCCTTGTAGTTATCCGCCCTGAAAAATACAGCCTAGTATTACAAGGGCAGATATTAATATTATATCAAAGTCTCTACAGTTTGTAACACCCAACACCGGCAAATATTAAGCTTGTGGAAATATGAAATTAACAACAGTACCGCACCAAATTTTCTCAATGACTTATCTGTGACCTTACTTAATATTTTTTTAAATTGGTGTAGCAATACCGTTTTATATCCGTTCTATAAAGAGGTTATTTATGAAAGTAAGACTGTAGCTGTTTTTGATGTGTATGAATACATAGCCTGAGCACTACTGCTATGATTGCGTGACTACGCGTTCAAAAAGTAGTTCTTAAAAATCGACGCTTATTTTATATGATTATCCTATTCATCTGAATATTATTTCTCTTCTTAAAACAAATGAATAAGATATGATAGCTTTGTATTTTGATTTATGTGAGAAACAGCGCTTGGCGTCAGTTGTTCCTCTAGATCTGTTGCTGTTCTAGTTATTGACCCCGGCTCCCCGATAAAAACGGGGAATTTTGAATTGTGGGGAAAAGAATAAATCCCAGTTTCATTTCTGATATAGAAACGAAATTATAAGCAATAAACTGCATTACATGTGGCATACTTTCTAGTTTCGGTGTAGCATGTGTCGCAGACAAACTTCTCGCGGTATGACACTGCGCACCATTCAGTTTGTCGGCATCAATATAGCATAGTTATATAAGTAGGCCTGCAACGTCGGTGCAGACAATTTCTTAAGTGTTCTACGAAATTCTTAATAGTTACGACACCTTACTTTTGTTTTTAACCTATAATTCCTTTTCCATCTACCATCGAGCTCCTGAATAGTCTGGATAACACAAATAAAAACTTTTTTTTTTTTTTAATTTGAGCTACGCAATATCGACATCAAAAGGTCCTCGAAGGTGCTTTGTTTGGTTTGGTCCTCGAAGGTGCTTTGTCTGGCTTGGTCCTCGAAGGTGCTTTTTTAGGTTTGGTCCTCGAAGGCGCTTTGTCTGGTTTGGTCCTCGAAGGAGCTTTGTTAGGTTTGGTCCTCTAAGGTGCTTTGTTAGGTATGGTCCTCGAAGGTGCTTGGTTTGGTTTGGTCCTCGAAGGAGCTTTGTTAGGTTTGGTCCTCGAAGGTGCATTGTCTGGTTTGGTCCTCGAAGGGGAATTGTTAGGTTTGGTCCTCAAAGGTGCTTTGTTAGGTTTGGACCTCGAAGGTGCTTTGTTAGATTTGGTCCTCGAAGGTGCATTGTCTGGTTTGGTCCTCGAAGGTTCTTTGTTAGGTTTGGTCCTCTAAGGTGCTTTGTTAGGTATGGTCCTCGAAGGTGCTTCGTCTGCTTTGGTCCTCGAAGGTGATTTGTTAGGTTTGGTCCTCTAAGGTGCTTTGTTAGGTTTGGACCTCGAAGGTGCTTTGTCTGGCTTGGTCCTCGAAGGGGCTTTGTCTGGTTTGGTCCTCGAAGGCGCTTTGTTAGGTTTGGTCCTCGAAGGAGCTTTGTTAGGTTTGGTCCTCTAAGGTGCTTTGTTAGGTATGGTCCTCGAAGGTGCTTGGTTTGGTTTGGTCCTCGAATGTGCTTTGTTAGGTTTGGTCCTCGAAGGTGCTTTGTTAGGTTTGGTCCTCGCAACCTTAACTTATTACATAGTCGCCCAAGAAACAGAGCTGATGTTCGTGTAAGCTCTTGTCTTAACACCTTTGAGATCTTTGGGAATAAACTGTGCACTACATGCTAGCGTGACAAAGCTATACGCAAACAAACGCCTCCTTATATCACCTCTTCCGTGGAATCTCGTAGTTAGATCATTAGAAATAATTTTTAATGCTGCTAATACGATACCTTTGAATAAAAAGTCAGATATTGCTTGACCAAGATTAAATAAGACTGTTCTAAAGATTATTGGCTCGTCTGAACGGTTTCATGTGTATACTTTTCGTTTCTAAATAAGCAATATTTACCCTGTATTGTAACCATTGCGTTATACTATTTGTTATGTTATGATTGTAATTAACTAGGAATCTTGGGTCTAATTACATCGCTTTGTTTTAGATAAAATATGTTGAAATCGAAACCGACAAATTATGGAAAACACACGTAAAAATTCGGAAGTTTTATCTGATCATCTTTCAGTCTTCAACGTCGCTCTCGTCCTTAAATCTAATGTATTCAATGAATCAATGAAAAACGCAATACCAGAGAAAATAAATCACGTGACAGCTACGTCATCACTTACCAGTCAGTGTCACAGCTGTGGGTCAAGGTCATATACCTGACACCGATCATGTAGTACATACGGAGATTACCGAGAGAGTTTCCGATCATGTGACCGCCTTCTAGACCGATAAGACTGGCAATTTTATCGTTTGCAAATGTCGTCTCAATATCTGTAAAATAAAATTAATCAACATTGTTACGTGATATTTCGTATTTCATTTCAAACACAAAAATAAGGCGCAGAAATATTCTGTACATTAAATACAGGCTTTAAGGTGAATTATTTTGGGTAATGTTGTTAACATATATATCGCCGATATGATCAAAAGGTATAACATAGTTTAAGTACTTGAACAGATATTTTTTCTTCGGTGTGATTTTGGCCGTTGGCCACTGATTTCAATGGAAAACATGGTACGTGTGTGCTACATCTCCCCACTTTACAAGATATTTACTGGTACAGTGTACATGTGTTGTTGGTATCGACCATTTTATGGGTCACATGGTCAACCCTTACCAGATGCAGACAAAGCCAGTTGGAAGGTCTCTGGATATTTGGCGGTAAACTTGTGGATTACGTCAACCTGGTCAAATCCCTGTCGTACTGCATCCTTAAATGTAGCAGCGCACGAGACGAACGCCGCCCACCACTGAAAGAAAAAGAGTTCCGAGAACTGTTTACTAAAAAAAGAGATAGTATAGCAGTTCCAATGAATAGTGAAAGTAGTACTACGATGCCTATCCAGGGGTTACGCTCACTTTCGCTCTCTGCGCCCCTGGAATATGCCATAGCAAAATCGAAGGCTCAGCGTGCAGCACTTTGAAGATGAGACGAGAAGACTAGTTTGATCCTTTAATGTACATCAAAAGAATTGTCAGGCTTTGAAGTCGGGCGTCTCTCCTTTGTAATCTTTAAAGGACAGGTATCAGCCTAGCGATAGGTCAGGGTTTTTTTTTACCTGAGACCAATCAAATAGCTATCTTCGTGCCTTCAATGTTGCTATGACATATTCCAGGGGTGCAGAGACCGAAAGTGAGCGTAACCCCTGGATATCGAGGATGTTGCATATGTACATGTAGCTTAGGGGCTTGTTTGTCTAAGATGTCCAATACCAAAGACCGATTGCGATGAAGTACAATGTAGTTAAGTTAGGTAAAACCTAATTTGATACACAAAGATCGACGTTTTACCTTCAGAATAGCTTAGTTGCTCCGGTAATCAGTGAAACATGTTTTAATACTTACCTGTGCACCGACTTCTCCCGCCCTGAGCCTCGGAATGTCTGTCTGAGGAGGCAAAACTGGAAAGGCGCTATCGGTCATGGGGGTGCCTGCTGGCCACTGCGTTCGTGTATCCTCGTTGAGCATGACAGAATAGGCCTTATTTTTAGCATACTGACGGTACTGCCACGGAAGGTCATTATGGCTGCACAGGAAAGACACATACAACGTACGTATATTGTATACAGTACACACAAAATACAATATACGTATATTGATTAACATACAACAAACATATACAGTATAAAATACAATGTACACATAAAATGTTACATGCAATAGAAATATATAATATAAACATACAATGTAAACATTCTATATATATACATATATATATACTTCAACATATAACCACACTTACTTTAACATAAAATGTACAAATATTAAAAGAATACCATGTTTACATGAAGAGGTTCATAAATATACATGTACAGTACAATATACAAAACTATCAAATAAGACATAATGCTGCTTCCTTGTTTATTTTTTTCTCTATGTTTTATTTTAGGTAATGCTACTAAATTGAGTTCTTCTTATACACAGTAAATGCTGTCATTTGTGTGAAAAACGTGCAATTCTCCCTAAAATGACATTTGCAAATATTTAGATAGGCACATATGATTATATCAAAGTTTAAATAAGGTTTTTTCCAAGATCGTTAAATTGGCAACATAATATAACACGGAAAAAAAATACAGGAACATACCCGTCAATCAATACGTTCGTTTGCAAAAACGTTTTAGCGAAAGCAAGGTCGGGGTCGTGTATTGGTACTGCTGGCGCTGCTCGTCTAGACAAGGGAATGCCCACAGCAAGTCCAATAACTAGGGCTAACCCACCCACTATCACCAAACCGAGGACCAACTTGTCACGATTGCTTCCCTTTTTGAACGCCAGTTCCGACGACGTCAGACCATGTGTAGATCCCCCTGTCGACATTTTGAAGTGACGTCACGTATTCTAGACCCTAAAATATAACGTGTAAGCACATTCTCAGAGACTGCAGACCCCGTATTGTATTATTAGTATTTTTTGACAAAAAACAACTTAGGATATTTGTATTGTTGTCACATTGTCATTTAAGGATTGAATCTTGCTTTGGTCGATTTCATGGGGTGACGCATTGATTTGGTCTTGAAACAAAGGACTAGGTCATTACCTCCCTTATCAGGACTTTTGAATAAGTTGTTATATTCGTTATCTGGAATAAATGAAGTATGCAAATATGAAAAATCAAATTCATCCGACAACTGGTTAAGTAGATATGGCATTACAAAGAGAGACATAAACCCCCATTTTCATAATTAAATACGTGAAATTCGTCTGTTGTGCGCTATTTGGTTCAAAATTGGCAATTTTTATGGAAGTCATCTAGACAATTTTAATCGTTTTAAAGACTTCGCGTGCAACAAGCAAATAAATATTTGACATGCTTAAACATTGTCACATCAGTGTTCATTTGCAGCAGGGATTTTTTGTTTGTCACATGCGGATCCGGAGGCTTTCATTTCTGCATGTAAACTGTCCAAACACACCATATTTTGGCTATTTCTACATAGCAACGTAATTTCGTTACGTCGCTATGGTAGGGCATCTACGCATGCGCATGCAAAAAAAAATATGCACCAAGAAAGAGAGCTCCAATTAGCCAAAATGATGTTTATAACAAAAGTTGGTAAATAAATTCATGTTGAATTTTTTAATCTTTATGAGGCCAAAAATGACCAATAACGCCCCGAGTCCTTTAATAAACTGAAAGGTATTTGGTATGTTGAAAAATACTTAAAAAAGAAGTAAATCATTAATGTATAACCAGATCGTTTGGTAACAAATTATCTTCTAGTTGTACTGATCAAGTAGATCAATAGGTTAGAGCGACCGTCCTGTGATCGGAGGCCCAGGGTTCGAATCCCTGTCAGGCCCAACTCTTTTAACACAGTTATTCAAACACATTTTTGCATATTTAATCTTCAAAATTGTATTATGAAAAAAATCCACGAAGTATGAGTTTCTTTTCAGAGGTTTTTCTTTAATCTATTGTAATACGGGTTAAAAAGTTTCCAATTCACAGTTAAAGGTTTTTAATGTACAAGGGGGTTACTTAAATTTAAGCTTATGCGGGCCAACTTGTACTGGGTTATTGACCTCGACACATTCCACGCAACACACTTCGCCGGGACTCAGATCACAGATGTAAGGTGCTTCTTATGTAATAAAGTTAAATCCGGAGCGCGTGGAACCGAACACCTTTGTACCCACCTATCTTTACAGTACAATTGGAGCAGACAGTAATTTGATATGATACTAAACATCTATTCATTGAGGTATGTGTCAAGGCTGTTCGCTTCGTTTTGGAACATGTACATGTATATACATGTACATGTATATCGAGCTACTTTAGCTGATTATTAGGTGATTAATATAAACTTTCAAAAAAATCGATAATGTTAAGATATTTTTACTCTGTTTTCATCTATATCTGCAGATCAGCAAAGGACATGGGCTCATTAACAAAAAGAAATGCAAAATAAATTAAAAAAAACCAGCAAATTACAATTACTCACTTAAAAAATTGTTTGGGAACTTAATTTGAAGCCACTAAAACAAGGGAAATCAGTCAGAAAAAAAAAACAAAAAACAAAAAACAAAAAAAAAACTGGGGGCTTCGAAATCCTCATTTAAGGTGTGACAGTGAGCCCTACGTATGTGCAAGCGACAATAAATGGCTTACAAATTGCCAGAAGCCACGCTAGGCCTATATTTTCATACATGTAGTAGGCCAAACCGGTTATATTATACAAATAGTTTTGAGTTAAGCGGGCGTATTATATTACCCCGATGCACACTGAAAGGGTGATGTACGTTTGATTCTATCTTCGCGTTTATACATGTATCTGTGATCGCACTTGTCACATTTAATGTCTACAACAAGTACATAGGGAATCAAAACAAGCAAAACTACATTGTACTTGACGAATCCGCAAAATACAAGGTCACAATTATTGAAAGTTTGGTCAACTTAACGATATAAGATAAAATATTGAAATCAAAATTAAAATTTAGAAATTAAAAAGTAAAATTATCATTAAAGAAATAACCTTCATAGCATAATGATAAGTATATTATTTACAAATTTTAAAACATTTCTAAGATAAAATCACATTTTGAATATTTTCGTTAACAACGTGTTAAGCTTATCAAGCTTCGAAAAACCCTGTCCAGGTGATACGAAACTAAATGCAGATTAATTCAAATTAAAGCTCTTTTATGAAGCGAATGATGTATACATTTGTACGAATAAGTTCATCATCTTTTGCATTGCAAATTCTAACATTGATAAGGAACACATCTACATACCTATGATGGTACAATGTTAATGTGGTGTGTTGCAGTGTTGTGAAGTGGTAACGCTAAAACCAATGAACACAGTGACATATACATATAGGTATATCTATTCTTCCAGGCCTCCAACCCCGAGAGGCAAAATGCAGAAATATGTCACAGCAAAAATGGCTTTGCACGGACGGATAAAAATGTTATGATGAAAATAGACGTACAGATATAAAAAAAAATATCTAGAAAACTAGTACATACCTTGTAGTGCGTACGTAGTACAATTTCTGATAAAACACTGTTCTTGTCTAGGCAAAGGTATGGAAAGCTGTTAGCAACGCACGACCGCTTACGGGAGTGACAACTTATATAGGCATATACATGGGAATTGATAATGCGTGACCGTTAGTGTTCTCAATGCATGGCCTCAAATGGGAGTTTTGACAATACATGGCCTCAAATGGGAGTTTTCACAATGCATGGCCTCAAATGGGAGTTTTCACAATGCATGGCCTCAAATGGGAGTTTTCAAAATACATTGCCTCAAATGTGTGTTTGAACAATACATTGCCCCAAATGTGTGATTTCACAATACATTGCTTCACATGTGTGTTTTCATAGTACGGTTTACCAGGCCTCAAATGTATGATTTCACAATACATTGCTTCACATGTGTGTTTTCATAGTACGGTTTACCAGGCCTCAAATGTGTGATTTTCTCAATACATTTCCTCTTGTGTGTGTTTTCTGTAATTGGTATTTCCATAAGTGTATTACCTCGTATGTGTGATTTTCAATGTATTTCCTCTAATATGTGTTATTTCAATGTATTATTGCCCGATGGGTACTTTTTCAAACTGTTGCTTTTAATGAGCGTTTCTTTGATCTATTTTCTTCGGTGTGGTTATTTTCGCAAGTTGCGCCCCCTACTGGGTTTCAGAATGTTGGTACATACTTTCTTTATTTGCCAGACGACATCTTGACGAGCGCAAAATGTGGTACATCAAACGTGTCCTCTTCCAGTCGACGTGCTAGTGGAAATATTCATGTAACTCGAGTTGATTAAATATTAAAAAATAGATAAACATGATAGCAAACCACTACGAGATGAAACCATTGATATAAAGCTCATAATTTTGAAATAAAATATTATTTTACACATGATTTTCTTTTCAATATTTATGACGTCACAATGAAAGTACACATAAAGTGTGACGTCATAACCTTTCACGTCAAGGGACAAAAGACACGAGTAATCATATCGACCAATACAAGTACTTCAACAAACCCGTCCATTATATGTGGTATAAAGAAACGTAGTTTTATTCAAACACTAACACGTGTTTTTGTGTGTACCTAATTCACGTAGACTGTCGAAACATGTTTCCATACTTCTTTGTAATGTTAACTGATGCGGAACCACATTCATTCACTTTAAACCCGGCCAGTTTTGTGCCGGGTTGTCGGCAGTTTTATTATACATATAATGCATCGTCGTTCGCTCAATATTCAGAGACGATGGTGCGTAGTTCGTAAACACTTTTTGAAAATAGTTCAAGGACTTCATTGAATCGCATTTAGGGCCGATAGGATGTCTCCTGTCAGGGCAGGAAAGATTCACAGAGACAAAGTGGTGCTATAATATCGTTTTTCAAGGGGGGGGGGGGGGGGGGGGAGGCATTTTACGGATTCTATTAATTAAAGGTAGAAGCTATATTACAAACTGAAGAATTTGTGTTTTTTTTCAGCTCGTCAGACTGAGATATATGCCTCATGAGACATTTCTGGTCTATTTGTGTCGAACACTGTTTCACCCTTTGCCCTAGATCCATATGTTCTTCACCTTTCCATGTATGTCACAAAGTCAGGTCAGTAAAAAGGTTGCTTAACTTACCGGTTGAACTACTAGCTAAATATGAGTGCGGTCATCCGACACCAGTTTAATAACCTATCTGATATACCCAAGGAATTAAATGTCAATATTCGTTTCGCGGACAAAACTTAGTTTAGTTATCCTTTTACGTATACATAAGGTAGATTGCTTAGTTCTTTCCCGAAAGGCAGAACAAGAAATGAAAATTTGTCGTATGTGCTTCATCAAATGTTATATTCTCCTCAAAAATACTGGATCATCAGCAATGGCATTAAAGACAGAAAATGGGCTAGTGTGGGATGTAACGTGCCCGAAGTAGAGAGTACGAGGAACAGAGGAACGCGACACGATCCGACAAGGATCCCCACATGACTCACCAAAACATGTTTTGTAAACTTAATTTTCCGCCATGACTATAACTTTGATAACTCATTTCTGACGAGAAAACCAAACTTTAAGGGACATTCATGAAACAAAATAGATATGATTTTATAATATCCTCGACACTCCAGGAGTTACTCTTAGTTTCTCTATAGCCCAAGAAATTGTTCTGATATACATGTATACAAGGGGTCTTGTTGTTGGGAGAGGAGCTCACATCGCCGACATTCCAGGGCTTACACTAACAATCTCTGTGCCCCAGGAGATTGTCCTGATATACATGTATATGAGGGATCTGGTTGGGAAAGGAGCTCGCATCTCGACATCCCCGGGCTAACTCTTACAATCTCTGTACCTCAGGAGATTGTCCTGTTATACATGTATATGAGGGGTCTTTTTGTTGGGAGAGGAGCTTACATCCCCGACATCCCCGGGCTAACTCTTACAATCTCTGTACCTCAGGAGATTGTCCTGTTATACATGTATATGAGGGGTCTTTTTGTTGGGAGAGGAGCTTACATCCCCGACATCCCAGGGCTTACTCTAACAATCTCTGTAGCCCAGGAGATTGTCCTGATAAACATGTATATGTGGCCTAGGGATCTTGTTGTTGGGAGAGGAGCTTGCAGCGCATTCCAGAGGTTACGTTCTCTATACTCCTGGAATATATACAGTACCGACGAAATAACAAAATATGCCAAGAATGTACTATGGTAAGTGGAGGTGACCCTGGAATCGTACCTGTTGTCCTCGTGACGTCCTATGTCAACTACGTAATACCTGGTCTAAGATTACACTGGGGGAAGAATTGATTGACAGTTGTTCACATACATATCTGCATTAAAGACGCCAGTCATATGTCACAAACAGGTTTTCTATTAACTGACTATGCATTTATACATATTATCGGGTAGCAATCTCTAGCAAATTCTATACGATCGCGTTCCACTGAGCGACGTGTCCTAGTTAAATGTCTTATTTACCTGTATATGTGGAGGTAACAGGTACGAAATGTATATAGGTGTTGTATTTCACAGGTACATGTATATTTGACATACGTTCTACAAGTACGCAAATAAATGTCAACCGATGTTAAGACGATTTTCCAAAATAAGATTCTATTTTCCTTATCTATCTTACATTGTATAATTAGCGCTAGCTGCAAAAGTACACATATAACTGCTGTGAGCTATTTTTGTACTATCATGGTCTATAAAACACATTTTCTGATTTGAATTCAATTTACTCGATTTATATAAAGCTAAATCTGGACACCGATGCGAATAAAAACATTTGGGGCTTTCTCAATTATTTCATGCAACCAGGACTGGAGGTTTAATCGGTATCACCGCATTGAACTATTGAACTACCAATATGAATGAAGAAAAGACTCATTCTCATTAAAGATATTGTCTTATATTGCCCTGTTAAAAGGATTAAAATATATTTAAATCCTGACATCGACGCGAAATATCATTTAGGGCATTCTTATAACTACTTCTTGACTTGTCTGATCTTTGGTATTTTGGTATGTTTGTGTTTTACGTCCTATTAACAGCTATGGACATGTAAGGACGTGCCAGTTTTTGGTGTTGGAGGAAAGCCTGAGGTCCCGGAGAAAACCCACCGATTTACGAACAGTGCCTTGCGAATGCCCAACGTAGGCCTCGAACCCGCGACCCAGTGAGGGGCTAGTGGAAGCAGAATGTCAGACGCCTTAATCACTTGGCCACCGCAACCCCATCTTTCTGAAGTCTCGGGAATGCATTTAAAATCACAGGGACCTGGTAATTTGTTACAGCTATATTTGGACCTAAACTAAAGTGTTCGGAGTAATTCATGTTCTGAGAATTTGTTACAGCTATGTTTTGACCTAAACTAAGTTGTTCGGAGTAATTCATGTCAAATTACTCCGAACACCTTAGTTAAGGTCCAAATATAGCTGTAACAAAGTCTCAGGTCCCTGTGTTTAAAATGTGTTAAAGAAATCTTGTAAAGTGCATAGCATATATATTACACCCTGAGTGGTATATTTAATTCTAGTGACGCCATCGTCTGTGTTCTGTTTCCGACTTCTACTGGTGTATCAGAATTCTACTGGTGTATCAGAACTCTACTGGTGTATCAGACTTCTACTGGTGTATCAGACTTCTACTGGTGTATCAGACTTCTACTGGTGTATCAGACCTCTACTGGTGTATCAGACTTCTACCTGGTGTATCAGACTTCTACTGGTGTATCAGACCTCTACTGGTGTATCAGACTTCTACTGGTGTATCAGACTTTAACCTGGTGTATCAGACTTGTACCTTGTGTATCAGACTTCTACTGGTGTTCAGACCTCTACTGGTGTATCAGACCACTACTGGTGTATCACACTTTTAACTGATGTACCAGACTTCTACTGGTGTATCAGACCTCTACTGGTGCATCAGACTTCTACTGCTGTATCAGACCTCTACTGGTGTATCAGACTTCTACCTGGTGTATCAGACTCCTACTGGTGTATCAGACCTCTACTGGTGTATCAGACATCTACTGGTGTATCAGACCACTACTGGTGTATCACACTTTTAACTGGTGTACCAGACTTCTACTGGTGTATCAGACCTCTACTGGAGCATCAGACCTCTACTGGTGTATCAGACTGCTATTGGTGTATTAGACTTCTACTGGTGTATCAGACCTCTACTGGTGTATCAGACCTCTACTGGTGTATCAGACTTCTACTGGTGTATCAGACCTCTACTGGTGTATCAGACTTCTACCTGGTGCATCAGACTTTTACCTGGTGTATCAGACTTCTACTGGTGTTCAGACCTCTACTGGTGTATCAGACCACTACTGGTGTATCACACTTTTAACTGGTGTACCAGACTTCTACTGGTGTATCAGACCTCTACTGGTGTATCAGACCTCTACTGGTGTATCAGACTTCTACTGGTGTATCAGACTTCTACTGGTGTATCAGACTTCTACTGGTGAATTAGACTTCTACCTGGTGTATCAGACTTCTACTGGTGTATCAGACCTCTACTGGTGTATCAGACCTCTACTGGTGTATCAGACTTCTACTGGTGTATCAGACCTCTACTGGTGTATCAGACTTCTACTGGTGTATCAGACTTCTACTGGTGTATCAGACCTCTACTGGTGTATCAGACTTCTACTGGTGTATCAGACTTCTACTGGTGTATCAGACTTCTACCTGGTGTATCAGACTTCTACCTGGTGTATCAGACTTATACTGGTGTATCAGACCTCTACTGGAGTATCAGACTTCTACGGGTGTATCAGACTTCTACTGGTGTATCAGCCCTCTACTGGTGAATCAGACCTCTACTGGTGTATCAGACCTCTACTGGTGTATCAGACAACTACTGGTGTATCACACTTTTAACTGATGTACCAGACTTCTACTGGTGTATCAGACCTCTACTGCTGTATCAGACCTCTACTGGTGTATCAGACCACTACTGGTGTATCACACTTTTAACTGATGTACCAGACTTCTACTGGTGTATCAGACTTCTACGGGTGTATCAGACTTCTACTGGTGTATCAGCCCTCTACTGGTGAATCAGACCTCTACTGGTGTATCAGACCTCTACTGGTGTATCAGACTTCTACTGGTGTATCAGACCTCTACTGATGTAATATTTACCGGTTTAATTTCGTCCTTCTCTTCTTTCAGGATTGCACCCGGACCACTGACACAGCCATGTTCGTTATTTGAACGTCTCCTCTTTGGTTCAATGCAATCTCCATTCAGTAACGATCGTAGCTTTCTTTAAACTTGTCATAGTAGATAAATAAGATCCCCGTACATGTACCACTGTCAAACAAAATTAAACTTTGTGACTATAGCTTTGATAAATCACTTTTAAAAGAACAGTTTACCTTGCGGGACTTTTATCGGAAGTTAATCGGACGTTACTGTAAATAGGGAAAACGGCAGTGCAGCGGGATATGGATCCTTAAGGGGGACGGGTGGTGCAGTTCAAGTTCGAGTTCTTTATTATCTTGAGTCTTTTGACCCATCGATTTCAAAAGTGAGATATATTTACAATATCTACAGACAATACAATACAATACAATACAAAAAAATACAATACAATACAATACAATACCAACAATGTACAAACAGTATGGAGAGTGGCAGCATGGAGAGTGGATAACACACTCGCCGTTCACTAAGGCGGCCGGGGTTCGATTCCACGATCGACACACTTTTGCATGGGACTCCCTAGGCCTATTATTATTTCAAATAGAATGTTAAGATTTTAGAAACATTACAGATAAATACTTTTCCGGACATTTAAACCGTTTTCACTGATCTAGATTTTGAGGCTTTTTTAAACTATATAAATGACATCAGTCTGTTTTGTAAAATTTGTTCCGATTAATTAACTGACGTGACTCTTTTACGGCATGTATACATAATCTTTTTCCATTTCATTTTTTACTTTCTCACTCTTGTATCTTTTAAATTTTCGTACCCGGTCCTGCTGATGATTTTACAGATAGACGAGTTTTTATCTGATTTTAATTCTGTTTTGTCAAAGATTTTTATATAATTCTTTATTTCTTTTGCGAGAATTACAAACTGCCACTGGCTACGAGTTGATCTAACACATAAATAAATGATACGACAATTACGCTCAGCAATTACTTTCCGTACTACAAACTTCCACCATTCATACGAAAGCACACGTATGACACAAACACACACTAGCATACACAAACAAAAATCCTCATCCAACTACTACACTTAACAAACAAGAGCGAGAGAGAGAGCGAGAGCGAGAGAGAGAGAGAGAGAGAGAGAGAGAGAGAGAGAGAGAGAGAGAGAGAGAGAGAGAGAGAGAGAGAGAGAGAGAGAGAGAGAGAGAGAGAGAGAGAGAGAGAGAGAGAGAGAGAGAGAGAGAGAGAGAGAGAGAGAGAGAGAGAGAGAGAGAGAGAGAGAGAGAGAGAGAGAGAGAGAGAGAGAGAGAGAGAGAGAGAGAGAGAGAGAGAGAGAGAGAGAGAGAGAGAGAGAGAGAGAGAGAGAGAGAGAGAGAGAGAGAGAGAGAGAGAGAGAGAGAGAGAGAGAGAGAGAGAGAGAGAGAGAGAGAGAGAGAGAGAGAGAGAGAGAGAGAGAGAGAGAGAGAGAGAGAGAGAGAGAGAGAGAGAGAGAGAGAGAGAGAGAGAGAGAGAGAGAGAGAGAGAGAGAGAGAGAGAGAGAGAGAGAGAGAGAGAGAGAGAGAGAGAGAGAGAGAGAGAGAGAGAGAGAGAGAGAGAGAGAGAGAGAGAGAGAGAGAGAGAGAGAGAGAGAGAGAGAGAGAGAGAGAGAGAGAGAGAGAGAGAGAGAGAGAGAGAGAGAGAGAGTCATACTCATTAATATATCATCATCAATTAAATCATCATCATCTACGTATACACTTCCATGTTCGGTAGGGATGTTACTGGTATATTACATGTAACTCTGCGACTCCTTTTCATCTACACAATTTTTTCTCCTTCTTTTCCAATTTCTCCCTCTTTTCTGCTTATCCTTTCTCTCTATTTTGTTTAGCCCGTTCTAACTTTTCGTCCATTGATACCCTGCTTGTGTTTTCCGTCCTTGAAACTCTGGCTAATTTCGCCTCGATGCTTCTTCTGTTTTCTTCTGCTTTTAATTCCCTGTTGATCCTAGCTCTCTCTATAAGGTCGATAACCTTGACCGTACTTGTTTTGACATCTTTTGTGATGCAATTTTTATCACCTTCTCTTCCACTCGTTCAACGCTTGTCTTTCTCTCTTGCTTCTCGTTTAGCTGCAGCTAGTTCCATTCTGTGCCATTTTCTCTTTCCGTCTTAGTACCTCGTTCTTTATGAATTCCGCGTTTGATTCTATTCTCTCGGGGGTTATTTTGTTGAGAATATCTCTGGTGGTGAGCGGGGGCAGGGATGTGTAGTGATCCCTGGCGGGGTGTAGGGTTGGCGGTCTTACCAGAACTGCTTTTGTGCAATTAGAACCCCGTGAGTATTCTGATACTCCGGGTACTTGGTAATTAAGAGCCGTCATTTGAGGTTGACATTCCTGGAATCTCCACATTCACGTCGACAGTGAAAGCCACGCATCCTGATCCCTCATAAGGGTTTATCCCCTCCTCCCGGAGCTGCGTTAGCACGGTTTGCTCAGCCCTGCGCGCCAGATTCAGCATGGGCGAGTCTTCATAGACGGAAACTCATAGGGGGTCTTCTATATGAGTTGTTTGAACCTTTCTTCGGGAATAAAATCAAAATCAAAATAAACCCTTTTGAATAATGTGTAGTCATATCAGTCATGGTAGGAAAGAAATATTAATTCTTTAAAAGTTTTCGGTCGAATAAGGTTCTGTCGTTCTGAAGAATACAATATATACATCAATATATAATATACGTACATATAAGTTGATTTAACATATTTGGAAGAGGTTGCAGGTCGGGGTTCGAGAATAGTGTATCGTCATAGTAAGAGGCGACCCGTGTGGGAACCCCCTGTAGAATTTGGGGTTTGCTTAAGTTTTGTGCCCTCTAATTGGGGACACAAATCCGACCAAAATAAATCTTCTACACCAATTGTAATAGATGGGATCTTTATATTTCTTTCTACTTCTAACGTTTGCCTTTAATATTGAACGTTCGCCAAAGTGAGGGAGGCAATGGGTTTTATACTTTGTCAGTATAATGTGCCTTGGCGGAATACTGTGCTGAGTGCCTTCGGAATGGTATTTCAGTGAGGTAGCACTATATAAAAGTCGGCGTCAAGGAGGCAAATATACCAACATACCTTGCATCCTGCACACATAAACGCAAGCACGCATTCACAACACACATGGAGGCACGTCTTTAATTTTCATGTCGCGTCATTATTTATTGGTGCCACCAGACTTATTGATTAATATCTATATTGTGCTTTCACGCACACAAAAAATACCAACCTTCAAAATTGACCAGCTGGGTCTGAGTTTGATCCAAATGAACGATATGTCTAAGCACTTTTTTATACCGTAGACATGGAATAGAATTTGACTTGAAGCCGATAACTTCAATATTATCAAACTGTCAAAGGGAGATAACCTATACACAAAAATGGATATTGTAAAGTCGCAAAATATTATTATCAAAATTGCAGAAATAGATATAGGCTTAACTGATTTCAATTAACACTTGCAAACATATTTGGTATACATTAGCCACACAGTGTACAGTGCTACAAATAAATAAATAAATGTAATTAATATCCAACCGGAAGTGACTACTTTACGGCACCTGGATTGCAAACCACGTTGGAAAAGTTGCAGGAGATTCACTTTGCTGATTTTCTGAGGTTCTGTTTGGAAATAACTAGTGTCATTCCCAACGAGTAAGAACATCGACGTTAATTCTTTGTCGAGAAATAGATGTATCAGGTTAGATGCTATTTAAATTGTGAAAATAGGAAATATCGATAAGTCTGGCACTGAGTGCAGGATTTATGACAAGATTCTATGGGGATCCAAGCAAACCTTGTACATGTTATATTTGTTGTTAACATTCAATTTATTTCACCACTGAAATGTCCCGAGTATCCTCCTTTGTAATCCGATGTCACAAACTCCAGATCCCTAAGCATTGTGTCACGATCGAGAGGTAATGTCTGCTCTAAAAAATTGATCGCTCTGCCACTCTGACCATCTGCATCCATAATAAGTATAATATTTATTCGGTAAAAGCATGATACAGGTACAAACATCACATATGATCACAGATTTCAATTGCATAATAATCACAGTATTTAGATTATCACATCAATGTTAATATCACAAATTTTGGAGCACTAGCAATACAATGTATCTGCATGATGACTAAGCTTTAACCTAGGATATCCCATGAAAGCTAGGTGGCAGCTTATTTCCATGGGGTCCTCTAGTAAAGATCTTAATTACTTAGACAACAAAAGCTCCTAGGAATTTGACAATATAAAATGGTATAATTTCTTGTAATAATATATATATGAATAGAATAAGTTGTACTAATTGGTCAAATATGATTATTTTATATTATTTCATCAAAATAAGATGTTATATTATTTGACAGTATAAGATGGAGTTGTGTTTTACGTATCATTAGAAAATAAGATTGCCTTCTAATAATATATATATATGTGGAGCTGTGCAGGATGTTATTTCCTCTTTTATAATATTAAAATAACAAATGCCATCTACATCCATGTGCCCTTTTAGCTTATCCCTTATTTTGTCTATAAAATATTTTCATGAGTAAGCTAGCATCGCTGCTTCTGTTCATGGTTTATAATTGGTGAAGTTTTAACTATTCGTCACGTAATAGTCAAGTGTGAATGCGTCGACGTACGATGTAGATGTACAGTTATAAAATCCAATTACCATAATCGACTTTTAAGTGCAAATACATGTAATGATGATGATGGTCTGAACCATGCATATTGTGTCATATTCAATGAAGCTTAAACAATCTACCAGTATGATTGCCACATATATATATATATATATATATATATTTCATTAGGTTGCATCATGCAAATGAAAAAGCTGACACATTATATATGCATACTAACATTGATTGCATTTTAATATGTGTGTAGTCCTATATAAATAGCTATTTCACTTCAATTCTTTCATCTCAGAAGGCTGCAGCAGCACCTTAACGATGTCCACAGCGGAGCAGAGTGGTACGGCTGCTGAGGGTGGGAATGTGAAGGAAGAGAAGAGAACCCCAGCAGAAAGAGATGCTTTAGCCAGGCAGATCCTTGATAAACCAGGCATTGCGCAAATCAAACCAGAGTAAGAAATTTTATGTATATCAACCATGCCAATTAATGACCATCTCAAATATCTTTCTATTAAATCATTTTTCATGACATAAATGCAATGTGCAGGACAATAGAGACATTTTCAAAAACAGTTTTTATAAAGCACTTGCCTGAAATAAAAATATGCTAGACCTAAACATTTCAATAAAATACAACTTCATTAATTTTCATGGAAAACTGTTTACTATTCTTTCAATGGAAGTTATGTTTTGTCAGTATTTGTTTCATAATAATCACATGTATGTTGTAAAGATCCTATTTAGATTGAACAGATTTGAGTTTGCATTGGTCAATCAAGTAATTAAGATTTCACTTTTTAAAGACCAAATCTTCACCTCTACGGCCTTCAGAATTGGAATAAATATTTATTCTTGATAAGTTACTATGAGTTGGGGTGCAGTGAACATTTTACAATTCAAATAGAACATTACAGAAAAAAGCTAGGAGACATACGAAAGATTTGTAGACTTAGATTATTTTTTTTTGGTTTTGCTTGGAATTGCTATGTTCGGAAAATTAAAATCATCTAGGCTTTCCTATTGTTTTTTTTTGTTTCATATAAAAGGATTATATAAGGAAATAAAATTCTATTCTGCTAATATGCTTCAAACAAAACAGAAAATCAAACTTTTGGGTGTATATTTTTTTTATCAAATTTTATCTTAATATGATTGCAAGGAGAACTGAAAGTAGGTCCAAGATATATAGACAAAATCCAACTGTTGGTAACTTTACAGATACTCAGGTTTAACCGTACTTGTTAATGTCGTAAGATCATAAAATTTTGAGCTAGTCCAACAGCATGGATGATTTTGGATTATTTGATGAAATAGGGCTCTTGTCAAGGCAATTGGTAATATTCATCTGCATTTTTAGCTTATGCCATACTGCGGCGTCCGGCGTCCATCGTCCGTAGTCCGTCTGTCAACTTCTTCTGAAGAACTGTAGGACCTAGGGTCATGATATTTGGCCAGTAGGTATCTGGGATGGAGTGCTATAAAGTTTCCTCATTAAAATGACCTTGACCTACTTTCAAGGTCACAGTGGTCAAATCAAATATGTGAAAAACTTCGAAGAACAATATCCTAAGAACCATTTGGATTAGTGTCATGATACTTTGGTATGTTATGTAGACCATCAGTGCAAATCTGTTTCTCAATTACAGTAATGATGTCAAAGGTCAACTTTAAGTGCAAGTTGGGGTCAAAGGTCAACATGAGTCAAAGGCTTTAACAATCTTCTTTTCAATTTCCATAAGGCTCAGGGTCATGATATTTGGCCAGTAGGTACCTGGGATGAAGTGTTATAAATTTATGACCTTGACCTACTTCCAAATTCACTGGTGTCAATTATGTTAAAAACTTCAAACAACAATATCCTAAGAACCATTTGGACTAGAGGCACGATACTTGGGTATGTTATGTAGACCAGCTGTGTGAATTGTTTTCTTTATTACAGTAATGAGGCCAAAGGTCAACTTTAAGTGCAAGTCGGGAGTCAAAGTTAAAATGTCTTGTGTTCTAGTTACCAAATTTGGTCTTAAGTTACCTATATGTCAGTTGCATGTAACAAAAGAAACAGGTGGGCGATACAGGCCCTTTGGGCCTCTTGTTGAATTTTGTGATTGTTATTGAATATTGTGTATTGTTAGCTCACCTGGTCCGAAGGACTATGGTGAGCTTATGCCATACCGCAGTGTCCGTCCGTCGTCTGTCTGTCAACTTTTCCTTTAAAACGCTACTAGTCCTGAACGGCCAAGTAGATTTTGACTAAATTTGGTCTGGAGCATCCTTAGGCCAAGGGGACTCAATTTTGTATAAATGGTGGGTGTGGCCTCCCTGGGGGCAGCGGGCCGGGGCCGAATAGGGGAAATAGAGGTAAAACCTTTAAAATCCTTCTTCGACCATCGTGATTAAGAGATTTTATCCTTATTTAGTCTGGAGCATCCTTTGGCCAAGGGGACTCAATTTTTATACATACGGTGAGTATGACCCCCCTAGGGGCATAGGGATGGGGATCTGTTTGAAATTTGTTATATCTCAAGTACTGGATGGATTTTTCTGAAATTTCATATGTACTTACAGCACCTACCATGGAGTGCTATATCTTTACTTCATACCAATTATTTTAAACATATTCAGGTGAGCGATACAGGCCCTCTGGGCCTCTTGTTTAAAATACTGTGTTGAAAATGTTTGAAACTTGGTTGTAAGTTTGTAGAATATTTAAATTTTAGATTTAAACCAAGCCAAATAGAAAGCAGTGCATTAGTTGCCTCACTTTACAGTTTGAATTAATGATGTAGCAGGCATCGGCTCATAGTTTAACAATTGAATGCTAAAACAGACACATGTGCATTTTTAAAAATGTGTAATGATTATTATTTTACTCTTTTTTTCTATAGATTTATATTACTGGACCACAGGATCAAGATTTCTGAGGAGTTTCTGTCAAACAAATCGAAGGAAAAACTAGAAGCAAGCAAAGACGGTAATGAAGGTAAATGCTAAAAGATATCTTGTTCACCACAATACTGTAGGACATTAAATCCGAGCATGATCAGATGTAAACAACTTTGCCAGTGTTTGTGTGGGCTACGATAATTGGTAGTAACAAAAGTCTCCCTGGTACACAGTCAGTTTTGACTGATTTTGTTTGGGGAATTGATTGTTTATGAGATACCTTTTCTCCCCGGATTTTAGATGTGCAATACGTGATGGGGGGGGGGGGGGGGGGGGCATGTTTACTTCCGGTATACACCCAAAATCTGAGAGTTGTACAAAACAAATTGGCAAAAAGCTGGTATGCAGTTCCAGACTGCATGTTTCACAACAGGGTACCGGTCAGTAGATATCCCTTTGTTACAGAATATGAAATTTCTGCTATTTTCGCCCAAATTTACCATTGTTTTACTTTGACTTAGGTTTGCTACTGATTAACGTTTACACTGGCAGTGTACATGTCCCAAATTATATATCTAATTAAATTTTGATAGTTTAGAGAATTACAGCTCAAATAATACAATTTTCACATTTCTAATTAAAAAAAACTCATTGGAAAGGAGATATTTAACCTAATTAGGTTGTATATATTCTTTCAAAGTCATGTTTGATTTTTCTACGGTCAATCCAGGGGAGACAGAAAATGGGGCCTCCAGGGATCGAGAAGAGGGCCCTCCTCCAAGTAAACGTATGAGGCTGAAGGGAAGAAATAAGAAGCGACCAGTTAATACAAAGCTGCATAACTCCAAGAAGATGTGTCCAGCTGTGCTTCATGCTCAGGAATGTCGGTTTGGAGAGAGCTGCAAATTCAGCCACGACATCAAGAAATTTATGGCCGAAAAACCGACAGACTTGGGACCAGTTTGTATCAATTTTGAAAAATTTGGAAAATGTCAATACGGAATATCCTGTCGTTACGGAAAAAGTCATATCTCGGAAGAGTTTGAGAATATTATAAATGAGGATTTGTATAAAGAAATGCAGAGTAGAAAAGTAGTAAAGAACGCCCTTTATAAGGAGCTACAACATAAACTATGGAAGAAGAAATATGACTTTGAAAAAGCAAACAGAAACACTGCCCAAATACAAACTGAAGTAAGAACAAGAGTAGACTCGGAAAAATTTCACAAAGAAGGACAAAGGCTGACAAACTCGGGAAACGATGGAGAAACAGTCAAAACGGAAACTTGTGATTCTTCTTCCGTTGACACCAGCAGCAAAACTGACAATTGTTCGTCTGTTTTAACATCTTCAGATACAGAGATGTCCGATGTTGGTAGTACAAAACAGTCAGATGCATCTGTATGCTTGTCAGATGCTGAAGGCATTCGACTAAGGCCACAGGAGAAAAAATTGGTAAGAAAAATATCTGTCACTTGACCCATTCAAATGCATTTCACATATTTTACTAGCATATTAAACATAATTATGCAAATGTTTGAATCAAATGAGTCCATGAGTGAATATTGGTGTTTTGTAAAGGTTTTAAGCTTTATTAATTCTTAGCATTTCGAGTTGAGGTTTGTCTGTTACGTTTTCGTTCGTTGGATGTCATTTCTTTAACATGTTTAACTAATTCACCCCTGAAACGTCATAATGAACTATTCCAATCTTTGAATTGGAAGAGTTCAAATGTGTCTTCAGGGGTGAATGAGTTAATCTACTTTTTAATGACCTTTTTTGTGTTGATGTTAATACATCTTACTTTTTAACGCCTTGGCTTAGAATAAAAAAATAAATAATAATAGATTATTAGCATTGGCATGAGGTATATGTTCGCAATAATACAAAATGTTTGACATCAGTATTTGTTATGTCGGAGTATTGAGATGTTAAACTTCTACAGAAATGGGAACATAAACACTTCTTCCATTTATGAAATCAAAGAGTTTTCCTCTCGGCACACACATATCTTCTCTGCACACCTGGAATATGTCACGAAGAAATTGAATACGACCAGGTTCAGTGTTACAGTTGCATGTGAATTTGATGTTTATTTTCCTATGATGAATCTTGGTTTTTTCAGATTGACTTTTCCAATAAGCTGTACTTGGCACCATTGACTACTGTAAGTATACAGGCATTTTTTAACCCCATTTTTAGTGCCGACTTTAGTTACTTTCTCCAAGTGAAGTTTTCCCAATTCTGATCCAATATTTTCACAATCGCTTGTAAAAATAATAAAGTATGGCTTCTTATAAACTGTTGTATAACGTTAAATTTTTTGAAAAATAGAGTTTATCTCCATTGAATTCAAGCAACAAGTTTTGTTTACACATGAGGTTATTTTAGCGTGATCAAACAAAATTTCCCTAATATCATACATCCGTTACATGTCGTAAAAATTCCCAATTCATTGTGTTTGTGCAGTAAAATTCCCAATTCATTGTGTTCGTGCAGTAAAATTCCAAATAAAAAAAGGCACCGGCCCTTTAGATTCAAAAAAACAACAACACTGGTATATAATATAATACGTTTAGATTGTTTAATTCATGTATACCAGATACATGTGTTGAGTGAACATGTATACCAGATACATGTGTGGAGTATCAGCCATGAAGTACACCATACAGTGGACTATGAATAAAGCCTTGATAATACAGCCACTCTCATTCCTTGCAAAAGTAGCAGGATTGTAGTCCTTGGTGGTTTTTTTGCGTGGATAAATTGTGAAATGGTGGCCAAATTTACATGGTATAAGTGTGTTAGTTATGGTAGAAATGAATAGTGAAAAGCAGCTGGGGATGGAACACCAATAAATGAACAAGCATAATGTAAAATCACAAAGATACGCCAAGAACAAGTGATTATTAAGGTAATTCCCCCTTTGATATGTTGAATTACCAGGTTGGTAACTTGTCTATGACACATTTAATTGCCAGGTTGGTAACTTGCCTTTGACACATTGAATTGACAGGTTGGTAACTTGCCTATGACACATTGAATTGACAGGTTGGTAACTTGCCGTTCCGTCGGATCTGTAAGGGGATGGGAGTGGACATCACATGTTGTGAGATGGCTCTGGCCACAAACATCCTTCAGGGACAGATGTCGGAGTGGGCCTTACTGAAGCGTCATGAAACTGAAGACTTGTTTGGGGTTCAGGTAAGTCTACCATGGATTGTATAAAATCATAGATTGTATTAACTTTATGCAAGGATAAAAACCATCCAAGTGAATCAATGATAGGTCTAACCACTGTTTAGTGGCCAGAAACACTAGTATAATGTCTTAGAGTTTTATGTAAGTTGTATTTAGCTATTATATGAGGGTAAAATGTGCAGTCAAACATTAGGCGGTTGGTTGATGTTTGTCAACATCTACGTAAACCGATACTACTTTAGTGTGTTTATCTTGTGTTTTCCCAAATCAAGTCTAAAATTTCCAAAACGGTATTGATTTCATGAAACCTAAGAAACAACATTTCATATAAACCAGGAAAAAGTGTCACTTATGTTTGTTTCGCTTTTAACCATCTCCATATATTTAATTTCCACTACAAGTTCATCTATAAGCATTACCTTAAGAATCTTTGTTCATAAATGCTGTTGGATCAGCATCATTTTGAAGCCTTTTCTCCCACCTTCAATATCACGAGACAACTGTTAAAAGCACACATTTTGGTGTTCGGCTGTTTCAGGAATCTCGTTTGAGGTCAACAATAACTTTTTTTTTATAATATAAATGGTTGAATGGCATAATTTCAATGTTCATGTCTGTAAAAACGCAAATCTATTACTTACAGATTTACCATGAAGCCCTAGAAGCCAGATTCAAACCAGTTTGCGACATCCATCTGCATGTCGGTGCCAAAATGTCCTTATCAGAATGCAATAGTGGTTTAATATATAACATGCTTTTACCAGCCAAACATTACTGGGAGTCATGTTGTTGGAGAATGGCAAATAAAGGTGTCTTTATTCTTACACAAAGACTCCTAGATTTCAAAAACTAGTGTTGTAATTCTTAAAGTTAATCCGATTGTCTGTGTTTGTGACAGATCTGTGGTGCCTTCCCAGACACATTGACACGGTGCTGTCAGCTCATCAATGACGAGTTATCTGTGGACTTCGTTGATCTCAACTGTGGCTGTCCCATAGACCTGGTCTTCAAGAAGGTAGCACAATGTTATATCCTGTCAAGATTATTTGATCAGTCTACTATTGTCAATACATGTATTGCCTAATTTTCACTTAAGGTTATCCTTTAGCCCTCTCATCCTTTGGAACATGTTGTTCTTATTTTGCAATCTTATTCTCAATGATCAGTTTATTGTACAAAGCCTGCAAGTTTTAACTCATTAACATCTGAAATTTCATGATGAACTATTCCAACCTTTGAATTGGAAGAGTTCAAATGTGTCTTCAGGTTTGAATGAGTTAAATTACCTGTCCAGTCATAAGGAAGAGAATCTTGTGTCTTTCTTTAAAGAGTTTTAAAGATATGTTGTTCTCACTTTATGATTGCAGGATACGTCAATAATATATAAAAAACATTTCTGTGTAGAACTATGTTAAATTGATAACGGAAACATTTTTTATTGTCAGAAGAACTTTTTAAATGTGTTTGAAAATTAGCAGGGGAGCTAACTCTTCTTTCTACATTTGCAGGGGGAGGGATGTGCGCTGATGGGAAAGAGTAACAAGTTTGAGCAGGTCGTTCGCAGTATGAAGTCGGTGCTAGATGTCCCTCTCACAGTGAAATTGAGGACGGGAATATTTGACAACAAAAATATTGCTCATTACCTTGTTCCCAAACTCAGGAGATGGGGGGCATCTCTGGTAACAGTAGGTATCCATATGTTATAACCAACTTTGCATAACTACCTTGGTAACTAGGCATTATATGGCTCCTTCCTGTTCCAAGTAATCACCATGGTGACCATAGGTATCAGTAGGTAATGTCTAATTCTGGTTAGACACGGTAGATATCAATATGACTTAACTCAATTTGTTTTTTTGATGCCATGATACCTGTAGGTACTGTATAAATCTTTGAATTGGCACATTGTTATTTTTGTCACGAAACTGATGTTCATGCAGTGTACATTTCACGGAAAACAGATCTGTCTGTCATGTCTGTTATTTTCACATTTCTTATGCTATAATGTGACTTTAACATGACACATCTATACTGTCAGCTGATCTGTCAGGTATGTGTGAGAAAACTATCCTAGTTTCCTAAAATAGTCTTGTCGCATTGCAGACGTGTATTTGATTGGAATGAAAAAGTGAGCTGTGTAGGCTTTCTGCTCTGTTTCAATGTATAATTATAATAGCAAAACTATTGTGATCTGTTAAACCACTGGTCTTTGTCGGTAGTCTTGATGTAGATCTTACAATAATTTTTTGAGCTGGAAATTTTTAGTGCATTGTTGAATTTGCAGATAAATGTTTCCGCAAAAAGCGCGAAAATAACACTGCCATGAGAATAAACTGGTATATACATGTGTACAATAACTGATGTTTATACTGGAATTCGGGCAGTCACCATGATAACATTAGACATGGTTACGCTTGATTCTGGATAGACAGTTTATTGTGGTCACTATTGGCATTGTAATGTAGCCAAACAATTACATATATTTCTATAGAGTTACCATGGTGATGGGAGATAACCAGTAGTTACACACAATTGAAATTAAATCAAATGGGGCCGTGGTGGCCAAGTGATTAAGGCGTCTGACATTCTGCTACCACTAGCCCTCCACCACTAGGTCGCGGGTTCGAGACCTACGTGGGGCAGGCACCAGGTACTGGCCGTAGGTCGGTGGTTTTTCTCCGGGAACTCCGGCTTTCCTCCACCACGAAAAACCTTGCATGTCCTTAAATGACCATGGCTGTTACTAGGATGTAAAACACAAACAAACCAGACAAATCAACATGGGCGCAGTCAGAGCTATTTGTGAATCCCCAGTCAAGCATGTCAGAGATTTGCTTGAGTCCAACATAACATATTCTTGTTATCCAACATTCAAACCAAATTTTGTATATAGTACTTGCATGTATAACATTTAGTTGCCAAATTTGTGAAAAGTCTAAGAATTGGTTTGGATTGCAATGTATTATATAAAACATTCGTTGTTCCTAATCTGAAATACCCCTATCTTTGTTTTTTTCTGGAAAAAAACACATGTCTGTAGGAATAGAAACTCACTGGGAAATATTAACAATCCAAACTTTGTCATATTCACAGATCCACGGGCGTTCTAGGGAACAGCGCTACACCAGAATGGCTGACTGGGATTACATTGATGAATGTGCGAAGTTAGGGGCCCCTATGCCTGTATTTGGTATGTTGAAATGTGATGTATACATACATTAATTATGTTAAGACAGATGATTTATATTTTCATACATATGTTTCTCGATGAGTAGTTGAGTACTGACTGAGGCAAAGTCATAACGTGGCATAAAGCTTCGGACGCTGGTTGTAATTTTTAAAAAAAAATTCAGGTACATGTACTTATAATTGGAATAAAGGTCTGCTTTTCTTTAATTGTGCACGCATAACAATTTTAATACAAACTATATTTCCAAAAATATGATTATTTTTTTTCCTGGTATACCTGCTTAAGGGTTAAATTTTTGGATTTTTTTTTCCTTGTATAGCTGCTTAAGGGTTAAATTTTTGGAAATACATTTGCAAATATTGACAATCCAAAACATTGTGAGGTTCAGCATATGTTAATTGCATTTTATACAAGTTTGTCTGATGTCATATGCTACACTTTGCGGGAGTAAAATAACTTAGGTAGTTCAAAGTTCAATACTGATTTGATTTCAACATATCATCCCACAACATAGTAACAAGAAATCCATTTGTGTAGAAATGGAAATAATAGCTTTCTTTCATGTCAGCCTTGATGACAATTTAAGTTTAAGGAATCAAATTCTTTTCAAAATAGATTTTAAACGTATATCATAAATTACACATTACAGATATTGAACACAAAATTCAGAAATGATTTCTTTTTCTTGATATAGATCCACAATGTTGGTATAACGTGTGATTTGTTCAATGTTATGCTGAAGCTTGGTCTATTCCCTAAGAGAACAAGCTGTTATATTAGACACAACAACTGTCAATTCTTCCTTTTGATATGAACCTGTCGTATTTTCAATTTCAACACCCAGGTAATGGGGACCTGTTATCATATGAAGACCTTGATGCCTGTCTCAAGACCAGCGCTAGCGGAGGAATGGTGGCCAGGTAACCCAAACATTTCTGTTGGTAGTGATTCAAATTATAATCCAGTTTATTCAGTAAGATTCATCAACTTGGAAATACATACCAGTACATGCCATATCTAACGATTTGAGCATGAGACTCACGAAATTTACTTCAGATAAATTCCTCACAGCGTGAGACACATTTCTCACGAATTTCAATCGGTCTCACGAAAAGGAGCAAAGTTTGGTCAATCTTACATTGTTTGTGTAAAAAGCAAAACTTTGATGATACCTATTTCAAATAGGTATACACCATACTGTTTCAAGGCCGACAGGTCCCCCTTTATCAAGCTATGAATGAGTGATTTGTATTGTTTACCTGTACAACGGTAACGAAATTGTAAATATAATAGGTCACTCTACCCGGGATGTTTGGCCTATCGATAGAGAGTGGATTAACATTGTATCGAACATGTGTCGATTGATAGTGTCTGGAAAATGACATGAATGATGAATTTTCTACTTTTTATGCAGATACCTTAATAGCTCAAATCAGCACACCAGGTTCAAACACTTTCAAAATAATAATCCAGACCTCACGGTTGACCATAGCTTTGAAGTGTTTCAGACAAAATTGATATGACTTTAGAAATTAAAATCATTTCAGATGATGTGATAAAGAATTAAAGTCAGAGTTAAGAGTGTACACCAGTAGTCTATTGTGCTCATTATTATATTTCATGTGATAGGGGCTTTCACTTGAATTTGTGATAGTGGCTTAGATCTTGAATTCAATTGTAAATTCAATAGAGGGCAACCAAGTATGTTGTGAGAGCTTGTGCTTAATCCCATTTATTGTTTTGATAAAATATGTTTGAGCTACCATTTGCATATAACATTAGACATCAATACATAGTGAAATGTAAGTTTATGTACAGTATGTGCAAAAAAAGTTAGAAATCTTCAGTATACAAAATCAGATGTGAGCGAAATATAATCTGCATTATGTGTTCAGAAAGGACAATTTTGAGGACACTGTCAAGAACAGATTTATCTCCCTTCAATTGAATTCTTTCTCAGTTCTCACTTCACTTTGAATGGTGTGGATATTGTGGCTTTGAACTTTGATGCATGTAATATTATCAGGGACATTTTGATTCTTAGATCACCATGGGCAAAAAGACAAATGTTTTGGAATCTGACATCCCTTTTTTCTCTGCAAAAAAACAATAGTTAAGAAGGTATTTAAACTAAAACTGGTGTAGAATATTCCTGGGATAAAGTTGGAATTTAACGTAAGTAACCTTAAACATCATTCACAAATGAAAGCATTCCGTCTTTATTTCAGGGGAGCACTGATCAAGCCGTGGATTTTCACGGAGATGAAGGAGAGACGACACTGGGATATCTCGGCCAACGAAAGATTTGACATGCTCAAGAATTATGTCAACTTTGGGCTGGAGCACTGGGGTTCTGATCATCAAGGGGTGGAAAACACACGCAGGTTTCTCCTCGAATGGTTGTCATTCTTATACAGGTACCGTAACATAAAGTTTGAATTCATCTCTCCGACCGTGTCCTCCCTAGGTCACAATAAGTGGGCACGGCACCCAGCTGTATTTTCCTTGCACCCAGTTATCTGAATTTGAATAAATGTAAAGAAATGAACGGCTTTTGTGGCAAGATTTACAATATTCTCTGTACATCGACAGGTACATACCGGTGGGTTTGTTGGATCAGGTGCCACAGAAAATCAACGAGAGGCCGCCATTCTATGTAGGTCGTAGCGACCTAGAAACACTCCTGTCAAGCTCCAACTGCGGCGATTGGATCAAGATTAGGTACGCTTATTAGTTCCTTGTATTTAGCTTTCTAAATCTATTGATATGTTCAATAAAAGCCAAATGCATTTTCCAAAATAGTTACTAGGGTGATCAGCTTGCAATTAATTTTGGTCTCAAGATCGAATTGACCCTAAAACTTATGAAACCGAGAATGGAGAATGTCAGTCATTGGTCATAGAGACTAAGGTGATATATACATCATTACCGTATTTATCCTTCAAATAAGCCCAGGTGGCCAGCACACAATGTCTGACTTAAGATAGGGAGAAAGACTTGTTAAAGGACAGTAAAATGAAAGTTGTTGTATTTTCTACTGAACTGCAATAGATATGGGTGAACTTATTTCCAGGCATGGGCTTAATACTGAATAAAGACTAATTTTTTCTTTCCTTTTCCAGCGAGATGTTACTTGGTCCAGTGCCTGAAGAATTCAACTTCCTCCCCAAACACAAAGCAAATGCCTATAAATGAAGTCTTTTGATCTTCAAGTCTAGTCCCTGAGGGGAAACCTTCATCCCATGGCTCGATTATCGCTGGAAGAACTGATGTGACACAGAAATACTGGGGTTCACAAAATGGAGTCGCCTTGACGATTTGCCTGTGGAAAGAAAAATCCTCCTGCATATAGTTTTCCTTTCATTATCGAGCTTAATTGTTATCAACATCAAAATGAGACATTTAACAGTTAACAGGAGTTCTTGTTATATAAATGAAATATCAAGAGCTGTGGTATTTTCATCATGCTTCCCAAATGCAGTGTTCTCATGCATGGTTGCCATTGACAAAACAACATATTTCCCATTTGTCTTTGTCCGATTCTTCCTTGTGACACTGAAGTAAGCTGCACACCAGATTGAGTATCATTTCCTAGTACAGATTACATTATGGAATATTGTCAATCATAATTAAGTGAAATTGATTGGTCTGTTCTGAAAAAAAATATGTGGAAGAATAAAATGTTCCTGACTTGTCAAATATTACTTCGAAGCCTTGTTTTTTTGTTGTTAATTTCACATTTTACTGTTGATGGATGCATTATTTGTAATTCTTTGTCACCTACACATTAACAAAAATCAATAAAACAGAAATGAAAGAAACTTGTGTTTTTGTAAGTATTAATTCACACAGGAATGGTTAGAGTTTACAGTATATACTTGTAAATCCAATGTAAGCTTCACATAGCAAAAAGGTGTTTGTGTGACATCTTCTAAAGAACCCTGAGGAATAAATTCGTGGAGGTTGGTCTGTAGCGTTCCGATATGAAGGGCTAGTTATTTAGTTCAAAACGAACTTGATCTAATCTGAATGGTGCATCGATCGAATGAGTCAAAACGTTCAGATTATGTCTTTCTAATGCTCAGAATCATGACCTGTAGATTGTTTGAAAAGAGGGTTATGAAGTTTGTTATTGAATGTTCTCGATGGAATCTCAAGGTCGCAGGGGTCAAGTGTCAAAAATCTCAAATTGGGTAATGGTATTTTCAACAGATGTGTAGAGAGTGCTATCCTGGATACATGGAGGGGCAACCAATGTATAATGGTTATATGTCGGGTGAAGAACAGCGATACAAAGTATGGATTATATACATGGCGGGAGTATGAAGCAGAAGACACTTTACTTCCGGAACGGCTGGTCTTATTCTCCGTTTACGGTTTAATAATCTCTGTCCTTTGTCCTTATTTTGCCCTATTGTTGTCGATTTTGAGCTCAAATTACGGTTTGTTGACATCTCAATATTATTATGTCTCCCCTTCGAATGAAGGGAGACATATTGTATTAGTACTGGTTCTTCTTCTTCCGGTTCTTCTAATTGCAACTTGTCCGGGCAATAACTTTTAAACCGTCAAAGATTTCTTGATGAAACTTTAGATATGGATGCATCACCCACAGAAGATGTGCAGTGCACTGGAATTAGGTCACAGTGACTTTCACCTCAAGGTCAAAAAAGTGCAAAATTTTCAGTAAATTCTTGTCCCCCCCCCCCCCCCCCCCCCCCATAAATTTTAAACCGTTAAAGATATCTTGATCAAACTTGAAGTATACCTGCATCATTTACAGAAGGTGTGCAGTGCACTGAAATTAGGTCTCGCGATTCACTATATACATAGTTATGACCCTTTGTTTATTTTTAATACCGAAGTTTGTCCGGAGCATAAGTTCCATGTTATTTCCCCTACGTTGACCAAACTTACTATATTTATGTATCTTGGGAAGGGTGGAATATCTCGCATTAAAATCAGGTTTTGTGGCCCACTATATACAGATCTAGAGTAATGGCCCTTTGTTTATTTTTGATACCAAAGTTTGTCCGGAGCATAAGTTCCATGTTATTTCACCTACGTTGACCAAACTTACCATATTTATGTATCTTGGGAAGGTGGAATCTCTCGCACTAAAATCAGGTTTTGTGCCCCACTATATACAGAGTAATGGCCCTTTGTTTATTTTTAATATCAAAATTTGTCCGCGCCATAACTTCCATGTTATTTCACCTACGTTGACCAAATTTGCTCTAGTTTTAATGTATCTTGGGAATTAGGAGTGTCGTATTCTAAATTCGGGTCCCATGTCCCACTATATAAAGAGATATGGCCCTTTATTAATTTTTTATACCGAAGTTTGTCTGTTGGCTAATAAGGGGAGACATGTTTTTGTTCACAAAAACAAAATTCTAGTCTTCTTTGTTTTAGAAAATAAATAAAACTGAACATTGTTCCTCATCAAATATCTTTTTTATAATGTATTCAAGAAAGCTAAATAAAGCAAACCTACAAAAGTCGAAGGAAGCACGTTTGTGAAGCCGTTGATGTTCCTGATGGTTACCAATGGTGTATCACAGCAAAGACGGAGGACAATGGGAACAGACACATCTTATTGTAAAAACGTAGGATTGGTATTCTTCTTCAATGGAAATATTTGACCAGTCAGGTACCTTTTCGGGAATTTGTCCCTGATATTGAATTTTTTATAAAGCAGAACAAATGTAAATGTAAAACACGAAAAAGTAGATCAAGGAAAAATTAAAATCTTTACAAGTGTTGATAAATCAATCCCCGTTTTACCAACACACTAACGTAGGACAACATTAGTCCCGAAACTTCCAGGGTTTTACGAAGATAAGTGCATAAGCAGACACCACCGAAAATAGAATTGGTAGTATATAAAATATATATATATCTAAGTGTTGAAATTGGCTTGGGACAGCAGAGCAAATTTGGTTTCCTAAATGTTCCCTAATTAGGAGACGCGGAAAAAAAAACATTCTGGAGGGGGCCAACATTGATGGCCTATTACCAAAAACGCATTAGGAAACAAGAGGTCTATTCTTTACCCGAACCTGCAGATTCTCCGAAACATTGAATAGCATCTTAAAGACATTCCGATGTGAAATTGACGAAACATTGAATAACATGAGAAACATCCCGATGTGAGATTGAATTCCCAAATACATAAACCAATAAATACATTCCGAAAATGTAAACTACACAGGGTCACAGAATATCACGGGGGAAAAATTCGAAACAATGTGCTTTTAAGAGCTAACTCAGAGACGTCATGATTGAAGGCATCCCACGTTTCACGACTTGTTAACTTTATATTGCCAAGAAGACGTTATCAAAATCCTAAGTGAAAAATGAGCAGCAGACAAGATTACAACCAAAAGGAAGCATCTGTCTTCGAGACACATTAAAGATAGCTTGCAGTTTGCAAAGTACGAATGTATTTTGAGTTCCAGCGCCTAATTCATCAACGAAAATAAGTTGCCGTCATTGGAAGCTCTGATCAGTTTTTGTACAGATTCTATTCACGAGACATCCGGAACAGACATCTTACAAAGGATCTGATGGAACAGACATCTTACAAAGGATCTGATGGAACAGACATCTTACAAAGGATCTGATGGAACAGACATCTTTCAAAGGATCTGATGGAACAGACATCTTACAAAGGATCTGATGGAACAGCCATCTTACAAACGATCTGATGGAACAGACATCTTTCAAAGGATCTGATGGAACAGACATCTTACAAGGGATCTGATGGAACAGACATCTTAGAAAGGATCCAATGGAACAGACATCTTACAAAGGATCTGATGGAACAGTCATCTTACAAACGATCTGATGGAACAGACATCTTTCAAAGGATCTGATGGAACAGACATCTTACAAGGGATCTGATGGAACAGACATCTTAGAAAGGATCTAATGGAACAGACATCTTACAAAGGATATGATAGAACAGACATCTTACAAAGGATCTGATGGAACAGTCATCTTACAAACGATCTGATGGAACAGACATCTTTCAAAGGATCTGATGGAACAGACATCTTACAAGGGATCTGATGGAACAGACATCTTAGAAAGGATCTGATGGAACAGACATCTTACAAATGATCTGATGGAACAGACATCTTACAAAGGATCTAATGGAACAGACATCTTACAAAGGATCTGATGGAACAGCCATCTTATAAAGGATCTGATGGAACAGACATATTACAAAGGATCTGATGGAACAGACATCTTAAAAAGGATCTGATGGAACAGACATCTTACAAAGGAACTGATGGAACAGACATCCTACAAAGGATTTGATGGAACAGACATCTTACAAAGGATCTGATGGAACAGTCATCTTACAAACGATCTGATGGAACAGACATCTTTCAAAGGATCTGATGGAACAGACATCTTACAAAGGAACTGATGGAACAGACATCCTACAAAGGATTTGATGGAACAGACATCTTACAAAGGATCTGATCGAACAGACATCTTACAAAGGATCTGATGGAACAGTCATCTTACAAACGATCTGATGGAACAGACATCTTTCAAAGGATCTGATGGAACAGACATCTTACAAGGGATCTGATGGAACAGACATCTTAGAAAGGATCTGATGGAACAGACATCTTACAAAGTCTCTGATGGAACAGAGATCTTACAAAGGATCTGTTGGAACAGACATCTTATAAAGGATTTGATGGAACAGACATCTTACAAAGGATCTGATTGGACAGACATCTTAGAAAGGATCTGATGGAACAGACATCTTACAAAAGAACTGATAGACATCTTACAAAGGATCTGATAGAACAGACATATTACAAAGGCTCTGATGGAACAGACATCTTACAAAGGATCTGATGGAACAGCCATCTTATAAAGGATCTGATGGAACAGACATCTTTCAAAGGATCTGATGGAACAGACATCTTACAAGGGATCTGATGGAACAGACATCTTAGAAAGGATCCAATGGAACAGACATCTTACAAAGGATCTGATGGAACAGCCATCTTATAAAGGATCTGATGGAACAGACATCTTACAAATGATCTGATGGAACAGACATCTTACAAAGGATCTGATCGAACAGACATCTTACAAAGGATCTGATGGAACAGTCATCTTACAAACGATCTGATGGAACAGACATCTTTCAAAGGATCTGATGGAACAGACATCTTACAAGGGATCTGATGGAACAGACATCTTAGAAAGGATCTGATGGAACAGACATCTTACAAAGGCTCTGATGGAACAGAGATCTTACAAAGGATCTGTTGGAACAGACATCTTATAAAGGATCTGATGGAACAGACATCTTACAAAGGATCTGATGGAACAGACATCTTACAAAAGAACTGATGGAACAGACATCTTATAAAGGATCTGATGGAACAGACATCTTTCAAAAGATTTGATGGAACAGACATCTTACAAAGGATCTGATGGAACAGACATGTTACAACGGATCTGATGGAACAGACTTCTTACAAAGGATCTGATGGAACAGACATGTTACAACGGATCTGATGGAACAGACATCTTTCAAAAGATTTGATGGAACAGACATCTTACAAAGTATCTGATGGAACAGACATCTTACAAAAGAACTGATGGAACAGACATCTTATAAAGGATCTGAGGGAACAGACATCTTTCAAAAGATTTGATGGAACAGACA